AGAATTTCTCCTTTATACAAATAAAACATACCTACACATTAGGTACACCCTGAACCAGACCAACAATATATGGCCACACAAAGAATTATTCCGTGCGCGAATCAGACCCGCAACACGTACCAGACGTCAGACGACCATATATCAGACGGTTATGTTAATGTGTCGTCATCCCTTAATTTTTCACCAGTTATGTTTGTGAGTGAATTACTATCTAATAAGAGGCTATAATAAAAAATAAGTAAGTTTTTTTTATCGGCGTATGCCGATAGAGTAGTGTAGTATTACACTACTACCGAAACTACTACCGGAGTGAAATTCCTTATCGGAGTCTGTGTTCCCTGAAAAATACAACTTGAGTGTCGTCAAATCCCGAGTGAACAGGTTGTTCATAGGTAGGCGTGCTCCATCGTTGGCCACATCGTCGCTTACCACTAGGCGAGAGGATGGCTAAACGCCATCGTATTTAAATACCGATATAAAAAAACTTGGTGTTAGCTAGGTTTTAACTGAAAGTTTAGTACTTTTCATGGAGCGACTGCCTTCTGCTAGGAGCGATAATACATTCTTGGTTAGACTATCAACCAGTTTAACTTTTGTCTAACTGTATCTACTTAGTAATTATGTACAGATTTTGTTGTAATTGTAATTTATAAGGACGTGCAAACGGCGAGGTTCCTGGTTGGCGCATGGTCTATTAGCGACATCTATTGCTTAAATACGTGTAACAAAGTGAAACTCTTAATGTAAGTGGCGCCATCTTTTGAGGAAAATACAAATGTAGTAAATCGTTTTGTTAATCCATTATATTTTCTCTGCTTAACTATCAAAAAAATATGAATTTATTATGCAGTAATCAAATTATCTATAACGAACAGAAAAAAAATTGAAACAAATCTCTAATAACTCACGGTTAATAAATACGCATTATACAATTGCATTGTATCAACAGCCCGTGATAAACCACCGCAAGACTATGTGCATGCTACATAAAATTAAAAGTTAACACTTTTTTAAATTATAACAAAGCTTTGTTTAATAATAATAGCGATGAAAACATTACAAGTTTCATAGACTTGAAGTAACTAAACGCAACTTCTGTGACAATGGCTGAAAAAAAATAAACAGCTGCATGCAGTGCTTTCCATGCCCAACCCAGTTTCGCATTTGCAACACTGATTGAATACTATCTCTGTCACTCACATGACAAACTAGGTGACAATCTTTTGCTAGTTACACATAGCATGCTTCATTTGTTAACTGTCAAACCCGAATCTCAATTTATATGTCCATCCGTCTCTTTTATTCCTTGTTCTTTGTGAAATAAAAATTGTTCGTTTTCTATCCGACATATCGAATTTTACAAAGTTTAACGCAGAAATATAGGAACCAATGACTTTTGGGAGAATCGCCAACTTTAATTGGAATAATTGTATTGAAAGTAATGGGACTAACATAATTCGTACTATGACAGAAAATAGGTATGTTTACTTCATCAAGTACCTATTTAAAATATAACCTTACATGATTATCGTTCCTAGTGAAAATAAGCTTTACTTAATGACTTTATATTCTTTACAGAAAAAGGTCTCGCGAGGACGACTCGTGTGAATTTATGCCATTGTCAAAGAGGATAAACAATTTACATATCAATAACAATTTGAATACGGTTGTTCCTCAAGCACAGGATGCTAGTCATAGTCAAATTAATGGAATAAATACGGAAAATGGAATCTCATCACCAAGTTCTTCATCAGGCTCGGAACGAAGACCAAGCTATGACCCTGGAATGAACTCCACTCAAAGTAGTTATTATTATGACAATAAGCTTTTATTCGAATTACATTTAGAGAGAATACAGAGATGTGGCCAACAATTTCCATATTAATTATAGATTTAGTGGTATTGGTACCTGATTAAGTTTTGTGTATGATGTGTATTGTTTGTTACTTCTAGTATTAATTAGTACCTATTTACTACTTAAATTGTAATTATTGTAACTTTTTTTAATTAAAATTGTTGAAGCATGGTAACAATTTTAATTTTTTGGTATGGTATTCCACTTTAGATGTCAGATCATGAATTTTTGACCAATCACGGTAAAGAAATAGTGCGCCACCTGGCGATATGTTTCGTACACTACGGAAACAGTATGGCGGACCCCATTTGTTGTAAATGGTAAAAGAGAAGGGGCGTCGTAGTTTATTTATTTGTTATTATTTAATAATGGAATTTATTTTGAGCATGTTGATGTGAGAAATTAAGTAACTGTGAAAACAAGAAAATTAATGTCTTAGGTAAGTTGTAATATAAATATTGTTTACAATGTATGAAAATCCATGACCTTATTTTGGAAGCGGTACTCCGTAGTACCGTTAGAAGGGGCGCGTGGCCACCTGAGCGCTCTCGAAAGAGTGCCGCAAGGGCCGCGTTCACGTTCAACCCCTCCTCTCGCGATTTTCCTGGCAGTGGAGGAAGGAGTCGGGAGCGGGAGTGATTTGGTGACGGCACATGGAGGGGATCCCGCATCATGGTGGGGATGCGACGCGTGATGGACGCATAGCCATAGCCACAATCGCAGCCGGTCAAAATGCCTGGTAGGGGTGAACAACCTTCGATTTCTGTTTGGTTTCGCCCACGAGCTTGCGGGGTTCCCTCATATTTGGAATAGAATTGTTCTTTATTTATTTGTAATTGCGTAACTGAAGGGGTATCGGCCATATTTGTTGCGACTCCTTTCATCCTTTGTGCGAACCGATGGCATAGTTTGAACCGTATTACAGTCTAATCCTTTTCATCTTTTGTGAAAGTAGTATTATTTTTATTTAAGAATAAAAATATGGTCAATGTATGAATGAATCCATGGTGTTATACGAGTTCAAACGTCCACGTATTTTGAGGTCAATGACACAATATACACCGTGTGACCTTATTTTAACTTTCTGTTGCCGAAATGTCCGCATACGGCTCTAACTTTCAAGGTAACATTATTACGATTCAATTGAGGATTTATTTTGTAAAACATGTGGAATGTATAGTAAGTTAGCCAGATTATTACCCAACCAGTTTGCTTCCCACAACTAGTGAACCACAACCACACCTCAGTCTTGTGAAAGTACAGCAAAGAGAAAGTGAGCATCACGCTAGAGCTACATGTGCATACATACACGCCAATTTTCTGTCAGTATGTATAACAAACTTGTCGGTCGACTATCGGGCCTGCATAAAAAACTTTCTTTAACCCACTTTCTTATTAGTAGTTTGCGATCATCTTTCGCCTCTCACCGCGGCTGAATTAATTTTAGTGTAGTGCTGTGTTTGGTGGTCGGTAGAGGTATGTGCCCTACCATCGTGGTCCCAGAGTAGTCCCGTGCGCAGTGGCGCACCGCGGTGGTGGGACATTGGGACGTGGGGATACGCGTTGCTATAGTGACTCAAGTGGGACAGTGAATTTTATTTTTATTTTTTCCCGCTTCGGCGGCGACGCGCGGAGGGTTCACAACAATGTGCGATATGCAGAAGATGCCCTCAAGAGAAGATGCCTCTTGGTATGCCGATGACTTCTTTTTGGACTATTTATTCATTTTCAAAATTGTATACTGGTCAAACGGTGGAAGCAGTGATGCAATTATTTGATTTTAATTTCTTATGGGTAATAAGAAATAGTAAATTATTTTTAAAAATCTTTTTAAAAACTATGAACAGATTTTCCGAATAGAAATTCATCTGAATGGATGGTATATCGAACAAAGTTGTGTAATACAAACAATTAAAATCATATGTAATACCTAAAACACTTCCTACTTTCACTAAGATTACATAATTAATTTCACAAATATGGAGTTGAAACAACTTTCCTAAAAGGACTTGTCTTTAATGAGAATATTTGTCTGTAACTTTGGTTACAAAAATTCCAGTCAAATATTTATTCGTTCATATTGTGCAAGCAAACTGGAAGGTCTGTGCTTAGGGAACTGTATATACAGGGGAAATCTATTTTTAAGATTACATTATTATTATAATTATATAAATAACTAGCTATTTCCGCGTGGTTTTACCCCCTCTGCTCATCGCCGATTGATTGTAGCGTTATGTTTTGTAGCCTAGCTTTCCTTGATAAATGTGCTATCCAACACAAAAAGAATTATTTTAATCAAACCAGTACTTTCTGAGATTAGCGCGGTCAAACAAACAAACTCTTGAGCTTTATATAATAGTAAGTATTGCAATAAAGTATCATTAAGAATTCCTCTTCATCCATTTTTTGAGAGGTATTTTATTAGGTAATTTATTATTGTCTTCTCCCGCCCGGGTGAGGTGGGGAGGGAGACTCTTATTGACAACAACCACCCCGTTCCTACTCTTGCACTTCAAGTCGTAGTCCAGGCAACCCTTGTTAAGTCCTTTGCTGTTCCATATCTGCATCAGCCCTATTGGATCCGATCTGTAGTGGTGTGATGGCTTCCTCTTCATCCTTAAGGGGTAGACTGTCACTGCTACATAAATTGCAATACCCTTTACCCCAGCTATAAACCAGCATTTCCGTCATTCATAAATAACTTGTAACTGTCATAATCACCAAAACAAGGTCATTGGTATTCCCATGTTCCACTTGCTTGTTTGTTGCAACAGAAATAACTGTAAACTGAATAATTATAACTGGAATGTATGCATCATAACACTTTATAAACCTGTACTTTTTCTATTTTAGTGTGTAATAAAAATTATTACTTAAATACTAGGCGTTATTATTTTTATTTCTGAAAATCTTTAGAGTACTTTTTGTTAGACTTGGGGATATGGATGTATCTTTACATTAGGATTCAGGACTATGTTTTCACAAAGATGTCAGTTTTTTGTAAAATCACTATCCCTTTAAGATTATCCAAAATATAACAAAATATACTTAGGTTTTCGTTCCTATCCTAACTACAGTAGTAGAAAATAATTCCCAAATATGTCTAAAGGTATAATTTATTTTTTTCAGTGAGGAGGACAGTGATATGAATTTTGCTACATTTACACCAGTGGGCACGACTGGTACCCACTTTATGACTACTAGTGGTCAGTTGCCAGTACAGAAGCTTCAGCAGAATGTCGCTAACAATGGTGCAGGCATGCCACAGGTAATCAATCATTATACCCATGACTTTGATTCAGCCAGTTAAAGTACCTTCTTATCCACTGGAACACCTGGTTTTAAGAGTGTTTATTTAACATGCAATAACAAACAACAAAAAAAATCAGCGAAATCAGTCTAGCCGTTTTCAAGTTATGGCGTGACAACGGGAAACTGGTTTCATTTTTATACATATAGATAGATTTACATTTACTATTCTATAAATAGTTGAAAGTTAGATAAACTGTAAAGTCATAAAAGGTATTTAGTTAAACAAAATGTTTGTTTTCACTAAAAACAAACATGTAAACAAATTGATAAGTGAATATTATGTATGAGATAAAAGAAGCATAATAATGATAAAACGATTACAAAGTGTGTATTTTCCGTTTTCAATAATTTTGAAGTAGAAACTTTTACTATTGGAAAGCTCGGTATGAGATTTCAATGAATGAATGTGCAGATTATTGGAGGTGTAGTTTCTAATGTTAATATAATATCTTGCTCTTCACTTATCATAGATGTAAAAATGGTTTAGTAAGCATTTTGCACAGGAGGTCTATAAATCTTATTATGCAATAAGTGAAAGCAGTAGAGCAAAACAGAGTTAGAAACTACACATTCATTAATGTTGCGTAAACTTGAACAAAAGATGTGTTCTTCTGTCTCAGGGGTGTAATCAATGCTTTACGTTGTTACAAATATTTAGAACTAAACACGTAGCGCGTAGGTGCTAAATTAACGACTAGCATTTATTTTAGAATAGAATGATGTCCGAATGATGTCAGACAAATTCCACTAACTAATTTATTCTAGTTAGTACACACCATGTTGATATTGATTGGCAATTTCTTAGAATATTGTACTTGTTTAGTTCACGACTTAATCAAAATTTACCAACACAATGACTATATAGTAAAGCGGACACTTATGTGACTTGGAAATTTTATTGATTTACTAGAGTTTAATCTTTAGGTCGTATGATAAATGTTTCCAATTGTCTCGTTAGTGAACTACCTATTTTGTACCTACTAATCTTCTGTTCCACATTGTACAAAATATTGCTAAGGATGATGTGACCTGTACTGTACATCTCTTATCTTCAACTAGTCCACTAGTTGTGCTTGTTCCGTCAAAAAACCAGTGGAAACAGATGTGTTTGGCACTGCCATCCATCAAATATCCATCATTCTTTATTCTATATTCCCAGTTCTAATGGCATTAAAAATACTACATCAATAAAAAAATATTATTTATTGTATTTATTTAAATTGTGTCATGTTTCGTAGGTATGTGTTATGGGCGATGGTGGTGTGCAGTACATGCGTGCTTTAGACACGAGCTGTAACTTGCAAGCGACACCGCAACTCATTTCTGTTCCTGTTGCCTTGCCGGGAGCCAAGCCTGGTATGTGTATAGCTGTAAAAATGGAAAAAGATTTATATTAAACAACCAAGTTTCAAACACATTATGGTACTGATTACTTTTTGATGATTTAAATCAGGGCTGTCCAAACTATATTCCCTCGCGGGCTAATTAAACTTCTTCAAAAGCTAGAGGGCCGGAAAAATATTTTCAGTTGTATAATGACATTTAACATAGTATTCTTTACTCACAGACAAAACTTGTATACAAATCATACACTGAATTGTATTATTGTTGTTGCACATAAGATGAAGATGTTGAGATTAAAATGTGTGTCGCGGGTCACTTGAAAACAAGCTACGGGCCTCATGCGGCCCGCGGGCCTTTGTTTGGACAGCCCTGATTTAAATTAATTCAAATTTGAAACGACTTTACAAAAATTATTATTATTTTTTTTAAATTAAGCCCCGTGATCCACAGTTATGTGTGCAAAGTAGAATCGATCAAAAATTCTTAATGTTTTCTTCTCTTACTCTTTATTGACTTTTAGGTGACCCTCAAGCAACAGTACAGATCCAGGTGCTGAGTCCAAATTTACTGCTACACCAGCCCAAGTATCAGATGCAGATTCCCATTGTTTCATACGGAGACAACAACACACAAAGTAAATAAACACTAATTAACTTTTGGAACAAAATTATGGTGGTGGAAGGCATGCGGTAATGTATTAATTTGTGGTGCAATGGAGAATAGTACCTCTAAGAGAGACCTGGACACTCGTGTGTGAGAGAACTGCCGAAAATGGTGATGAGAATGGAGCACAGCTTGAATATAACCCACCATTAACCCAAATACAGCAACTAACCAACTATACATTTAACATTTTAAAGCATTATATTTCTTGCCTTTGGTAAGGGGAAAATTGCTTAGGCTGCTGTTTCAGTAATAATTCGCTTTGTAAATGTCATGTTCATTGAAGAAATTTGTTCTGCAGTGATGACTGTTGAAGCTGGAGGCATCCAGTTAGTCGGACAGGGCAGCTCAGGGGAAGGTATGCACTTGTATGTAAATTAAGCTATCATAAGGCAAAATTATATAATGTTCATAACTATGGACTACTCGAATGGATATTCTTCTAACACAATGATGTGAGTAGGTTTGTTAAGAATTCTTAGCAAATACAACACTCTTTGGTAGGTAATTAATAGAATATAATTAGAATAATGTTTATTTCACAAAATACATATTACAATTTTGTTGTGTTCTGGACCTCGCACTAAGATTCCCTGAGTCGTGAGGCATAGGCTTCCTAACAAACAGCACAAAAAGCATAATGCTTCATTATAAATGTGTATTATGTATGTGTGACTGTGTATGTGTACCTATGTATGTATGAGAGTGAGTGTTTATGCGTTCGTGTATGCGTGTAGTAGGTGTGTTATGTGTGTGTGTACGTGTCCATGTTTGAAAGTGTGACTATGTCACATAAGTGAATACCAATCAAGTATTTTTTTATGATTGTTGCTGTTGCTACTAACTTAAAAAGTGTTCAATCATGTTGTAATCCATGGTGAGAAGCCACCTTGTAACCGTGTTTTTACATATATTTTGCATAATAAGCATTAATTTTTAAATAAATATAAGACTGATAATAAAGCTGGAATATTTTCACACATTCAGGTACATTCAGGCTGCGACCAGGTGATACTGCTATTATATTATAATTACAGTGTTCACTAATCATCACCTGAGCACTTGTGACGTCATAAACACATAAGCACTTGACAACTAACTAACGGCCGGTTTCAATTAGTTATATTAATCTGACGGTAAATTTAGCAACTTAGAGCTAGGTCAAAAGTCAATTTTTTCTTGAATTTTTGTCTGTTTGTATGTATGTACGGGCTAAACTTAAAGTACTACATGGATTTACTTCAAATTTTGCATGAATATTACTAACTGGTCGGGTCAACATATAGGTTACATATTATAATGCTATCACATACGGGGGAGAAGCACAGCTAGTAAAAAATATATGGAAAACTAAGCTGCAACGACGCAACTCACAAATGGAGCCACGATCTAAAAATCCAATTTGGATGTCATATCTCATTTTTAACCTATGCTGTCGATGCAGGCCTTTCTGTAGTAGATAAATCTAGGCAAATTCTAGGCAGGCAACAAAAACACAACATTCCGACGCGAAAGAAAGAGAAAACAACACTTTCGAGAATCTGTGTGTAATAAATACAAATGTACAAATATTGTTTATTTTGTTTAACAAGATGTAGTATTTTGGACACAGGTTATTGAGTCAAGTTCTGAATTAAATTACACACATTACTTATATACCTTATCTCAATTATCACACGTACGAAGATTACTCACAACAATAGTACAATATATTTTTAAAGCTTCTTAAATTAATAAACTATTATTTTGTCGTAGCTCTCCAAGTATTGACCTTACCTCAAGAGGTGCAGCCATCACAGGAAAAGGAACATATAACACAAAACATGCCTCAGGTGCGTTCATTTTAAGATATTTTTATATCAGTATATATGGACTAAAGTGACAGGCAGTTTAGTCTAGCGAATTTTGATCAAAATCACGAATAACTTTGTTTTTTGATCTAAGATCAGATATCCGGATTTTGTGCATTCAAGACGGGACTCTTGAATAAAGATTGCCGACTGCACGGTTGGTGCGGTGGTTGGGCAACCGGCTGCCGTGCAACGTGTCGCGGGTTCGATTCCCGCACGGAACAACACTTTGTGTGATCCACAAATTGTTGTTCCGGGTCTGGGTGTCATTGTGTATGTGAACTTGTATGTTTGTAAACGCATCCACGACACAGGAGAGAATCCTAGAGTGGGGCAACGTTTTTTTTTAAAAATAAATAAATACAATAAAGATTAGGTGCTACTCTTGAGTTTTAAACTTTGGGATTGAGAAATTTTTAAGTTTCACCAAAATTACTCAAGTGCCTGAAGTCTGCAATACAACATCACTGGTTCAATTAAGTGTTACATTGTATAATCTACACCCTCTTGCCATTATGTAATATTGTCATGTAAACTAATAGAACTGTATGTTTCAGGTATACATCACCCCGAACCAGCAGATCATCATCAATGGAGCCGACAAAGCGTTGAACAACAACACCACGTCGGACAACCACAACCCGACAACCATCGTCATCAAGGAGGAGTGTGATGATGACGTAATTATACACTTTTCATTTATATTTCCATATTTTTTAACCGACTTTAAAAAAGAAGGACACGTTCTCTGTAGGACCTGTATGTATGTTTGTTCGCGAATATCTCGCGATTGAAAAGTCTTTGTTACACTGGAGAAAGATTTGGGATATTAATTAACCGACTTCAAAAAAAGAGATAAACTCGGGTACTTAGTTTATAAAAGTATAAAATGAAACGTAGTTTATAAAAGTATTAACTTATACAAATTTTTATTATTTTGCCTACGTAAAGGTTCTTATTTGTCACATTAAAGTTCATACACACTTAACAAGCACGGCTCTGGCACGACGTTTTTTTGCTTTGGAAACATTACAAAAAGAATGTAAATGCGTTTTTGGCGCGCGATCAGCGCGCTTACAACCTTTTTACATTGACGTTATGACATTATGTCATATGGTAAGATGTAATGTTCAAAGGATCATGGACGCATCCGCGTATTGGACGTTGAACCAACAGCGTTGATATATATGTCATTTCAGAGAGAAATCTCTGTACTTCATAAGAATGAGAGCAAATAAGTGTGGGAGAGCCATGCTTCGGCACGAATGGGCCGGCTCGACCAGAGTGATACCACGGCCTTACAGAAAACCGACGTGAAGCAACGCTTGCGTTGTATTTTGTCGTGTGAGTGAGGGTGAGGGTAACCTCCCCTTCCCCAATCTCCCCAATTCCTGAATCCCCAACGATCCTCAAACTGCTAATCCCCAAAAGGCCGGTAACGCACTTGTAACGGCTCTGATGTTCCAGGTGTCCATAGGTGGCGCTGATTGCTTACCATCAGGTGATCCGTCAGCTCGTTTACCGGCTTATGCTATAAAAAAAATCCTTTATAATATGGAATGCCTACAATCATCAACATCATGCCTTTTAATTTCTTTTGGTTGAACGTCCAACTTTCGTACTAAAGTGTCCATGTTCCTTTAACCTTTCATGTGTCTTAAGGCCCACCGCGGTGCACGTATTAAGCTTCGCTTTGGAAGAAAATATAAGTGGTTGTGTCCACTGCCCTTCCAACGGAGAGGCTACGCATGAATTAACGTCATTGACACATGCGTGGCTTGCTCGAATAGGCGGTTACATAGCTCACCCCGGTCGACGTGGGTCTACTTTTCCACTGGAGTACACGAATATGTGCTTCGACTATGTACAGTTCACTTATCGCAGCGCGGTTTTCAGTCATAAACCTTGTGGAACGGACGCATTTCACGTGCGTAGCTTATCCGTGCGTCGAGCAACGCTGTACATATACGTGGGTCATATTCGTGTGCTCCAGTGGAAACGTAGACCCAAGTTGTCAAACTAATTAATACACGCAGCTAAAATGCGCCGCGTGACCGTGCACAGTATGCCCTGCGGTTGGCCCGTGCCTTAAACATGGATCCACGCGAGACACAGTGTATTTTCTATTGTGTCTCATACCGGTGCATTCAAGCGGTTAATTGCTGGGTTGGGGCCAGGTTGAAGTGGCACTGGTTAAGTGTAATATGACAGTGTAATAAAGCAATTGTTTACTTAATACATCTATAATTCTATTTCCTTGCATATATATTACAATGCGCTCAAAAATAATTGTAAACAACCTTATCCTTTAATAACGAAAGATTATTTTTGTCCGCACAGGAGAGTTCACAAGGCACAGAGATTGGAGAGACAATACAATGGCAATTAGAGCCGAGTCATCAGCAGGATATCATTAAATATTTAAAAACATTGCCGCCACAGGTTAGAAATATACTTTCATTTTCAACACCTCATTCTTCAATAGTATTGAAATATTATTGTTGATTGAAGTTATCTTGTTTTATCTAGTAATAAATATTTATTAGTATTTTTATGGCTATATTGTATCCCTGCCAGGCTTGGCAGAAAAACACTTCGAATGCCTCTTTGGTTATGTCATTTTTAATCTGTAGAACAGTAGGTATCTCAGTAATTCGTATCTGAAATGTATATTTTTATTTTGGAACAGTTTAACTAATACATTTCTAATTTGAACCTCATCTATTAAAATATCGTCGTTTTTCAATTGGCAAGTAGTAAAGTTTTATTTTATATTTACAGCAAACGCAAGTTCTCCCAGAAACATTGCAACAATTCTTGCGGCTGAACCCAACTACCATAAAACAAGGAGAACCCATAGAGATTGAGGTGGAGAACACCATTGCTAATAAGGAAGAACCAGTCGCCGAGGCTGTACTCAGCGAAGGTAAACTATACAAAATCGTTTATTAGCTAGTAACACACACACACAGTGGTCCATCGTCACTCACACAGGATGACTGCGAGCGACCAACCCGTAAGGTAATTTACTCACATCCCTCCGTAGCCCCGCGATTGACGACTGCACTCAGTACTCCATGTAGTTTTGTTGCATGAAAGTGGAATTACTTGAGTCTGGCTCATCATCACCACAATCTGTATATTACGTAACAATCCCCTCTTGGGACCACCCATTGGCTGTTTTTTCAAAATTTATTTGTTATCAAAAAATGTTAATTCAACATAACATCATGTTATGTATTTTAAAATTTAAACTCGCTAATTGGCATTAATTATTATCAAAATTTTATCTACATGGTTTCCCAAAGAAAAGGAGGAGATTATTATTTAGGAACAATAAGTCATTGAATTGGCCAAGAAGCAGGGATTGCATGCTGCGTAAGTAAATACAATTATTAATGTTGCTTTGAGTTCGGCTATTTGTTTTTACTAACCAGAACCCATGTACCAAAATAATATGGTGGTTTCAGGGAACATTGCAGGCTCAAGCTCAGATAAGCGACTACATGAGCTAAAACTGCAATTAAACAAGGATGTCTGTAAGCACTCACAAAAAAAGGTCGTTGCTGCAATAGCAAATTGTATAAACTATATACGGGAAACTCGGAAGAGACAAGAGCGGGAGAAGGCTCAGAGACGTTTAAAAAACGCTTTACCGCATGACGATGGTGTGGTTATAATTCTAGACGAAGACGAAGAGAAAGAACATAAAAATGATGCAAATTTAAATGAAGGAAATAGTAGTGTAACTTGTAATGACAGTTCATCCGTACCTGTAAATGATAATATTGCTAATCATCTGGCAGACAACACAATTGGTTTAAGTAGTTTCACACACGCTAGGGATCATAGCGCAGCTCTAATTAGTCATCAAAGTCTTATAGGAATGAAAGTTCAACCCCAAATTGATTATTCTTCTTGCGCAATAAACCCTGAACTAAGTACGACACAACATCCAACTGATCCCGTTGCGATATCGTCATATGACGGTAAAACGCCGGAAAAATATCCTCGAATAACAAACGAATCGTCCCAGGAACATTTGCCATATTATACATTTCAATCTCTTGTTGAATCTGCTCCTCAAAATATTGAACAGTCTGTGGGCAGTACTATGGTACAACAACAATCAACGACTGCCCCCAATTACGTGAAAGAAAGTGGGAATATCCAATATGCCGAAATGGTTGTAAAAATTTTGGATTTTCTAGAAAACAGTTCTTGTTGTTCTTCTAGACTCTCAGAGGAACTTTTGGGAGTTCTAATGTCCGAGGTTCACTCTATAAATGACCCAAGAAGTAAAGAAAAATTACATAGAGTAATAGAGCGCATATCAAAAAATAATTCGTGTGAGAACGTTACGGAACAAATTTTCTCAACACATTCTTCATCCCATGGAGGTGAAGTAGAAAGCAATACATCAGTAAGTCTTTTAGTCCCGCAAAATCACGTCAGTAACACTATGTTAAATGAAGATGTTCCACACAAAATCACACCACAAAATGACCCAGATGTGGAAATAATAGAAGAATATTTTCCCGAAAATAAATCGAATCACGAAGAATTCGTACATGAAAACTGTGAAAGCCGAGAATCAAAAGAATATTTGTTGGCAAATATTGTTGCTGACAGCAGGATATTGCATAATGAGGATCACGACGTCATAGAACTTATTGCAGATGATGATGAAAATAATAAAATAATGTCTAATCAAAGACCTCGTGTTTATGAAGCTGGTTCAGTGATACATAACCAAAGTGAACCAAAACTTCATATAACAACTAAAGGACCTACTACTTCTGGTGACCATATTCCAATGGACGTAAATGAATTAGAAAATATCTTGGCTGAAACAGAAACACACAATTCACAAAATTTAAACAAATCGCAAACTCCCGTACCTAGTGTTACTCCTAAAGGAAACCTTACAGACACTCCAGAATATGTAAATGAATCGGAAACTCGTGAGTCACGCATGCCTACAAAATACGGGAATAATTTCAAATTGCTGATTGTAGGAGAATACGGATGTAAAAGTAGACCAGCATCCCGTGAAGCAAATATAGTCTGTAAACCAGAGTTAAAGTTAGAACATAAACTTAGTACTGAATCAGGGTACGAGTCGAGTTCAAAGCATATAAGTAATTCGATTAAAAATGTTCATAAAACTACACCACCAAGTAGTTATACTTCAGACCACACAAGGGTGTCTAATGGTCAAGAAAAAGATAAAAAATCCAATCAAGACATACCAATATATGAAATTAGCTCCGATGATGATTCCGACTCCGAAATAAAATATGTTGGAATTATAGGACTTAGTAAGACCATTATGCCTAAGGCAGAAGAAACGACTGAACCACACAAACACAGCGACATTATTATAAAACAAGAAATTGAACGTTCGGAAAATGAGCAATCTATAACCTTACCCGAAAAAATAGAATGTTCGGAACATGAGCGATCTATAACATTACCTGAAATTAAACAGAAGTCTGAAATAGTTTCTGATGACGATGTAATCAATATTGAACGTAATATATCGAATATGACAAATTTTGAAAGTGATATTAATAACGATTATGATAATTTACATGCCATTGACCAAAAGCTTGAAATTGTCACTCCAAACAACGTGGCTTCATCATGTGAAAATACTGATGAAGTCGCTGCGTTTTTGAGTACAATAGATTTACTTGATATACCACTACCACCTGGAAAACCGAAGGACATTGAAAACGAGCAACGTTACTCCACCTGGTTAAAACAAAGTGACCTTAATTTGAAACCTAATAATTTACAGCTTCAAATTATTCAACCATACAAAGACAGAGATGGTTGTAGCAGTCCTGCTGGACACTCCCCGAGAAGTAAAGATCTTGATAAAGAAACCTCTCAAAATGACCCTTTACAAATAAAACATGAAACTAACAAGAGCAGAAAGCAGACGAAGGGATATCAATCAAAAATGACCTCTAAAAATGCAAAAAATCAAAACGAAGAAAGAAGTCACAGTAAGACAGTTTTATTGCCTAAATACGAACCATATAAAGATACTCGTGTGGTAAATTCTCCGTATAAGACAAAAAAACTCACTGGACAGTCCATTAGACACCCGTCAAAAAATCCATCAAAAAATAAAACGTTAGGATTAAAAATGAAATACAAAGACTGGGACCGCATCGAAGAAAGTGAACCAAGACCTCACACCGATTTTCAGCAAACAAATGCAATATTTCCTTTACCCGGCCTAGTGAAAAAAACAACAGAGAAAATTGAAAAAGTTCCAGAAGAAAACCAGCATCTGGTTAATGTTGGTTATGAAACAATGATATTTGAAAATGAAATCATACCAGAATCGGTTGATTATGTCCCCAGCCCTGGTTGTGAGGTCACAATTGATTCAAATGATTTCAGTGTAGACGATGATCTAGATATTGTGCAGCTAGAAGAAAGTGCTCTTTTGACAAACGCAACACTTGAAAATATTCCTGTAGAACCCATGGCTGTGAATAAAGAATGCGATGCTACTTACGAAAAAGATACATGTTTAGAAGACGCGGGTCATAAGGACATTGTTCAAAGTGTTAGTAATATAACTGGAAAAGAAAATATTACAAATTATATAGAAAATTCGACACTCGGTAATACAACTGATTCAGATAATGATTTAGATAATATTTTGCAGCTCAAACAAAGTACCCTTTTGACAAACGCAATACTTGACAACATTCCCGTGGAACCTATTACTGTGAATACAGAATCGGATGACACTTTTGAAAAATTAAAAAGTCCCATTATTGAAAACAATACTTACGAAAAAGATATAAGTTTAAATACATGTGAAATAGTTACAGACACAGGATATAAGGCCGATGTAAGTAATAAGAAGGTTCCAATTGAGAAAGAAAAACATAGTGAAAATATAGAAAATAGGACCCATAGTCCTAAAAATAACAAAGGTGTTAAACATATAAGCAAAAATGGAAAACAACCTAAAATTAACACAGATAATAACTCCGCCCCAATTAAAGATCAACAGGAAAATATCACAGTCCAAACTAAAGAAAAAAATAAAACGGGAGGTACCATATTTCTTGGAGATTATGTACCAGATCCACGGAAAAATAATACCAAATCAAATAAACCTAGTAGTAATAAAAGTGCGAACACACCTAAAAAAAGAAAACCTCAATTAAAAATCATCCGAAAAATTTTAAATGAACGACGACTAAATAGGAGCATAGGGAAAATCAATTCACGACCAACGAAAAACAAATCTGCTGATCCACCAATATGTCGAGGTTCACAGGAAAAATATAAAAATCACGACATCGACACGGAAGAGAGTAAAACTAAAGTAAAGATAAATGAAATGCAACCAACACAAACGAATGAATTAAAGAAAACCGTTAATTCATTAGAACAGTGTGTGAGGAATTATGAAAATAATAAAACGTCGGTATCAAAAGAGCTGCGTCATAATTTAAATAATTCTTCATCGAAAATAGATGTAAATGATTCGCGTTGTAATCACTCTTTACCAATATTGTGTGGTGATGAACATTTGAGTAACAAAAAAGAATTAAAATGTGACGCGCATTCTAATAAACCAATAATTCCTTTATTTGGCGATAATAATTCTTTACTACAACCAAATTCAGACAATGGCACTTCTTCCTTACCAAAACCAAGTTCTTTGCAGACATCAGATTTCCACGTTTATGGTTTACTAGATTCCCATAAACATACTTCAACAATGATAAATGAATCACTCAACAGTAACCCCAAAAATATTGATGTTACTGGAGAAAATAAAGATCATGCAACAAACAAAGTACCAAAATTAAAAATATTGAAAGTCGACGCATCTCACAACATGCGTTTGAGAAAACGAACCTTATCTACATACAAGTGTATAGAATGCCCTATACAAGAGGAACAAAAAGAAACTTCTTTAAAGAATGATAAGAGATTCAATAATAAAAACAAGCAGACGTCTTCAATACAAACTCGAAGTAGTACGATTAATTCTATTAAATTAAATGTGCAAAATAACACAAAACACCAAGATACAAAAAAGAAAATAAAAAGTAAAGACAATAATGTAGTAAAGTCGAGTAACAAGAAGATGATAAAACTAGGTAAAAAGCGAGAAACTAAACAAGCAGGATTAGGCACCTGCTCTTGTGTCCACAAATGTCCATTAAAAATGAGTGCTTCCAAACAGCTTCAACTGCGTAAGACATTTTACAGATTAGGCAGTATTGAAAAACAATTATTGTTTATACGTAACTACCTTGAATTTTATTGGAAGATATCTGCAGATCGTATGGAAAATAAAATGAATTATATTTTGCGATACACCTTACCGAATGTTGAAGGTAAAAAAGTTCGAGTTTGCAAAAAGATTTTCAAAGAAACATTATTGCTGTCGGATGCACAACTACACAAACTAGTTATAAAAATTATAAATAGAAAAAAAATGTTATTGGCTTCTCTAAATAGAAAGAAACGCTTAATGTAAACTGTTTTTATTGACTGGAATTATGTGAGTGTTAATATTTTGAGAGCAAAGACAATGAATTATTGTATGGCCGAACCATTCAACAGGCTGTTAATATAAGCGCAAGACGTATGAATCTATGACTATTCTGGACTAATAGTGTAATTTAACTTTGTGTTTAATTCTACGTGTTTGCGTGAGAAGACTTACTTCCTCTGTCATGGGACTCCTGACATAATTGGTGAAAGTGTGGTAAATTGTGTGTGTGAACCTCTACGACCTTTTCGAGACATTGAAAGACTATATTGACATTATTTGTGGAAAGCGAAATAGTATTGCCAAGCGAATCGCTGTGCAGTATATATCTATTAATATTGTAATTGTACCATAAATAAAAATACCTAGTTATAAGATAATACAAAACCGTGTCTTTTGCGAATATATTTTCTTTCTTTTATATTCATACTGTGTTGTGTTGTGGTGGTTTGGGGCCTAATTTTACCATACAACATCGAAAACATTTTCGTTGATGAATTATTTCTTTTCATTTGTTCTCAATTTAGTCTTGAAAGACAAACACTATTTTACAAGGCGCCGCTCCCATCTCCCCTTACAATCTGCTAAGGGTTTTAGATCCGTTACCAAATTTTTAACTAACTGGTCTCTAATTAGACTTACATTGTGTGATTAGTGACTAAGGGCGAACATGCCCCATGAATACGGAGAATATATACCTCCAAATATACAAACCGAATGGTAATTTGATGTCTATAATTTCATTAGCTCTTGCCTCTGCCCGTCACCTACCCACTGCAACAACCGTGAAGTCCTCAAAAGTATTTGATATTTTCTGCAGAAGACACTGCTTTGCAACTACGAAATGTACCAAAACAGTGTTCCTCTTCAGTATTGTATAAAAATATTTCAGTATTCGATTTACCAAAAATACTTTGTAAGTTTCAATTATTTGTGCAAGTAGATTAGTAATTAGACGATAATTTAATTGCTGTATTTTATTATAAAATATAGACTAAGTAAATAAGTTTGTAACTTGCTATGCAACTCACTAATATCCAAATACTCAAAGACTCCATTTGGTTATGCTTAAGTATAGTTGTCACTACAGATTCATTGTAAAATGAACGAAATGATACGATATTTGATGTACTCAATTTTATCAACTTAAAATTGAGTAGCCGTTCAGTATTCGGGCGTAAGTGTGTGTGTTCTCTAAGGGCTGCACAATTTCTGATTAAATTGCTGACAGGTTGACACTTTTTGTATGGAGTATACTTCAATCTCTACTTGATCAGATATTGTGAACCAGGCCTATAGGCATATACGATATGCTCGCACATTTCATATTTAAGTAACTACTTAGCGAAAGATGTGTGTGTATAATAATTATTAACTAGTGGCCCGCCCCTACTTGGCACGGGTGGTAAGTCTCAAATTCCCCAATGTCAGACAGTTGTATTGTACTGTATATAGGATTCCGTGTATATAGTGATTCGCCACGGCATCGATAATGACTATTTTTAGAGTGTTTTCTCTTAAAAACTTTTTCTAGACAATAAAAATACAAAAATCGTGTTAGCTTAAGCTAAATCAGTCCAGCCAGTTCATGCGTGATACCATCATCGAGGGGAGTTGGGATTAGTATATAAAAATAATTAAAAATATAGATTAATTAATGTTAATATCGGTCTATTTGTACATAATGCTTGAGGAATTCCAAATATTATGTTACCATCTATGTATAAAAAAACGTGTTCTATCTTGTGTTAAAAGTTTGTAAAACATATCAGCTGATTTAATATAATATCAATGAAGCTTTTTGAATATATTAACCTTTAGTCGCCTTTGCTGTATACGGCCTAAGAACATAACTCGTAAGACTTAAGTTTAATGCATGTTTTCTAAATAAGTAATTGTAAGTTTGATAAAATATATTTAAAGGCTGCTATTACATTGTCATAGCTTTACATGCAACATTATAAATGACTGCCATACTCAAAGACATTATGGCCGATTTTTCCAACGCTAGATAAGTTTTAAGTGAGGAATAACTTATCATATTTGACAATTCTTCCATACTAACAACTGTCAACTGTCAATTTTATTCTACAGGAATGAACTGATAATTGAAAAATTGGCCCTTAATGATTGCTTAAACTGTTCCTTAGTAAAGATTTTGTACCAAAAATAATTTAATATAATTTAAGGAGTGGTTTGAGTAACTATTAAATGAATCTGTGTATGGTGATTAGTTTATATTTTATTAGTTTAAACTATGTATGTCCCGTCTCTAGTCCTTCTTGTTTTAAATATATATTTTACTTCCATAGTCTGTCTATCCCCATGGGGGACAGGCGTGAGTTTATATATGTTTGTATGTATATCATAATATTCGGAATTTTGTGTACTGCTCAACTTATTTTTTACAACAAACCAAAGTGAAGTTATCATTATTTTTGCCTCAGAGTTGGTTGCCATATTATTGTAATTAATTGTGATATTATTATTTAATAGTTTTCCTTTTTGGAAATATTATAATAGTAAAAGTTGGTTGACAATAACACGCTTATAACGATGTGGTAGCAGTCAGTTGTATAATTGTAATTACTATTATGGTTTAGTGGTTTTCAGTGAGTCTCACTTTTGAGACGATAAGAATAATGAAACGAGCTTGTGTTTTGAAAAACTATTTTCTTAATATAGATTTGAAATCCCTTTTATACAATTCTAAAATTGTACTAAATTATTTTATACTTATTTTTACCACCGTCTATGTGAATTATTTCCGCCTGTTGTAGTATGTACCTTCTTCTAGCAATAAGCACTTGATATTAACTTAATGTTTAAGTGTCTAATTATTGATTATTGTCATGAAATAATTAAAGTCAGTTTCGAGGTGTAAAGTTCTTTTATCTGCCTCATATTTGATTTATTCCCTGATTTATTTTTTATTTATGTTTTACTAACTAGTAAATTAGATATATAAAGCTCCATATAAGATAACTTAATATAAAATGCATATCATTATTGCCATTGCTTCGCAATTTCATTGTCACAGCACATGACAGAATTATGTCATCAGATCATGTGAGCCTTAATTAGTGGCAATGCGAAGTTATCATAATCAATTAATTAAATAAAACTATTATAGTGAATTAACAGTTGCTATCCATGTAATAGACTATGATCTACTTACTTTATAAATAAAAATAGTAATTTGTCATCCATAAGTGTGACTATAACAAAATAAAACACACACATCTTAGTTTTTAATTTATTTTTATTTTGATCGATTTGTTTAAAAGTACGTAGAAATCAGCTATCCCCTTTTTCTCTTCCAGACGGCACTCTTAGAATACAGAGTAAAAAGAAGAAAAAATATAAGAAGAAACCGCCTAAACCTGCGAGGCCGAAACCTGGGTCTATTGTGATCGCAACCTCTTTGGATGGGAGCCCTATATTCTGCTGCCCAGAGTGTCAGATGGCGTACCCAGAGAAAGAACAACTGGAGATGCATCTCATTGTTCACAAGATCGAAAGGCGGTTCATTTGTGGGATTTGTGGTGCTGGGTAAGCAAGACCCATATATTTTAACTATTTTCTTATCTCACATATTTTTTCGATTTTGTTATTCTCAACACAATGAATTATTGGTTTTTTTTTCATACTCATAGTTTGACTATTTTCTTTCCAGTTTAAAACGCAAGGAGCATCTAGAGCGGCATAAGCTTGGTCACAATCCAGAAAGGCCGTTTGTGTGCGATGTATGTCGCAAAGGGTTCAAGCGGCGGGAACATCTCAATCTACACACCGTCATCCACTCTGGAGTCAAGACTGAAATGTGCACAGAGTGTGGGAAAGGTAACTAAAAATGTCTATTCAATCACATTACTTACTTTAAGGACAGTTAGGGGTCATCTTTGCTTAGTTACCTACATTTGGGGTCACTGAGGGTCATAGAAAATAATTGGTAGTCGGTTTTAGAAACATTTATTTGTCAGTTATATACATTAGTACATTTTAAGTGTAACTTACCTTTTTTTTGAATTCTGAACTAGCAGTACAGGACAAAACTTTCAACAAACTCGGTGTAGATGTCAACCTAGTAGGAATTACATGTTGCCCATAAGAAGTTACTAGTTGTGAATTTATAAGTAGTGTTGTGCAGGTACGCAAGCTCCAGTAAAATGTCAACCTGTTAGGAAATTACACACATCTAGAAGAAACGTACTTTGACTGAAATTTATGTTTATTTTTCAGGTTTCTATCGCAAGGATCACCTTCGCAAGCACACGCGCTCGCACGAGAGCAAGCGAGCGAGGGACGAGGCGGCCGCCGGGGACACTGCCGCCGCCACGCAGGCACCCGTCCAGCCCGCGCCCGCCAACAATAATATCTTGCCGGAGATCACCATACATGTACGTACGAATAAGTTAACCAGTAATCTTCTTAAGTGACTCTTACCTTCTTGAAAACAATTTTTAAGCTGAACCTTTCCATGTTAAGAGAAAACGGATGAAGGCAAATGGTCAAGTAACGACAGTCACCCTAAGAGCAAAAAGTAATAAAAATCTGTTGAAAACACATCCTACTTAAATTTTAAGAATCAGTTGTATTAGTATGGTTTAATGTATTGGTAACGTTTATATTACAGATACCGACCAGCTCGAATTCTCAGATCCCGGTGCAGATCAATATCCCCCAGCACGTGGTGACGTCGCTGAGCAACCAGGCCGGCAGCTCCTTGCAGGCCGGCGACACGCTGGACGCGCTGCTGGCGCACCACTCCTGACCGCTCCACGCATCCCGCCGCACTCTAAACGTCACACAACCATCCCCTCATGAAGGGGTGTAAGGTCTATCCCCCATTCTCTTAAATAGTCTCCAATGTACAGGTCAAGGTTTATTTTCAATGCGCATATAATCAAAATACTTTATTTTTTCTCGTGTTCAATCTAAGTTCTGTTTAATGTTTTCACCTAAAATTTTGTAAACCAATTTTGAAACGAAATAAGAAATCTGTTGCAATATAGATTCACCTTGTATTTACGATGTTGATAAATTGCACAAATTATGTAACTTAGACTGTTCGGGAATGCGGTTTCAGTATGAGTCGGCGTCCTTTCATTCATTCACTCCTGCCTGACCTAGTTAACTGATTGAATAAATCATAGTTCGCCGCCGCATTCTCGTGTCTTGTTGCTAAAGTGCGACGTCGCCAGGGTTCGTACTCAGGTCGTTGCATAGTTAACTTATGACAATAATTGTGACGTCGGCTATGTACGCCCGCAAACCTGCCTATTGGAACGTGTTTGCTTTGTATGACACAGTTTCGAGGTGAGCTGACAAGTCCATATTGTCCTAGTTGAAACATATCACCACAGAAACTTATGCATCGATCTTTAGCAAAATTTGATCTAAATTAAAATATTTGAGTGAATGTAAAATTATAAACAAAAGGCTATTATGATTGCTGTTGATTGTGATTCGAATGGAGCCATCGTAATATAATACATCAGTTACTTAATTATTACAGGGTAATTGAAATGTAAGCCCAAAAAATGTAACGCCGAATTAAAAGTGTGTAAAAAATTAATTTAAATAAATTGAGGAATGTTGCGATGTTTGATATGAATCATTTCAGAGTAAATGGAATACATGGAAATTTTTAATGAGTCGTTTTAGACTTATGATGAATCGAATATTTGTTACAACATATTGTGATTCGTATGAAATAGCACAATGATTCCAACGTACGTTGTCGTTTGTCGTGGCCTTGTAAGGTAATGAGCTCCATGAAGAGACTAGTTTACAAGTCGTCTGTGTAAAGACATGCGTTGTTCGTAAGGTATAAATTATATAGGAAACAAGACGAAACTCTATCCATCGCGTCTTGATAAAGGTGATAAAGCTTGAAGCATAATGTTTGTAGATACATATCACGTAATGTATTGTAAATTTTTATTTTAATACTGAAATACCATGACATAACACTCTCATTCCGTTAAACGTACTTGCTGTTGAACTTCAATCATTCGTGATTCCAGTTGCTAATTTGATTCATCGATGTTTTAATACATTTTTGGTAGAAATTGTTCAATAATATGTGCTGAAGGTGTAATTTCTGTAAACCAATAGATGTGACCTACCTACCGTGTGAAATTAAATCATATAAATGTGTAGTCTTAGACTTTTCTTCCAACTCACCTAAAAGATCAATTATGATCAATCAACTCGAAATAGTATAGTTTTAGATTTAATCAAAACATTCAGTATAGTTGACAGTAAATTAACGTTTTAACGAATACGATGTTCTCAAAAACCTGTGACTCTGGAACTCTCGTTTGATTTATACATTACGAATCATTTGTAAATATCATTTTCACTGTGATATTTATACCATTACCCGATTCCCATCGCATTCATACGTCTTGTTCTTATTTTGTATACAACTTTTTCATTTCCATCAAATTGTGATATTTATTTACGATCCGTGGATTGCTGTGCTGGGATTATATTAATTGGTTCAAATAAATAGTTATTGTCTTTGTAAAGATGGTCCGTCCCCTTTTCGCAATAGTGACTCATTATATTGTCCTAAATTGTGTAACATTGATAAATTTAATCTACCGGCCTATCTATCCTAGCACAAGATAATTCAACGGATTTATGGAGCTGACTAAATTCATTGCAAGTGTGTGGGAGATTACTTACCCAAATACTCAAATGATACTCAACTTTGTGTGTTCAGCACCTCGAAATTGGGTAAATTTTCAGTATTTGGGAATCATGTTACATAGAAAAATGTATCTATAAAGCTTTCTAATATTAATTATCATTATTTACGACTTAGACCAGGTCTGTTTGGTTTTGTAGTAACATGATTTTCTATATTTATGTCAAGATAGTCGAAATTATGTCACACATTTGCGCAATTATTGCTATTACAAATTATGTTGAATTTATAGACTTTCCACCACACGATATTAATATTGTCAGCTTTAATGTAGTTGTAAATTATTTTCCAATTATATTTTTGTACTTAGAATTAAGTTTTGTAATGCATCACTCCTTGTGACATGTTTTCTATGTCTTAGAATGCTTCTTTAGTGAATGTTAAGGTGCTCTATAAACGTGAATTACGTTTCCAAATATTATTGCCATTCAAATGTATTTTACTAATATCGAATGATAAAAGTAAAAACGAAAATCAGTTTCCTGTCATCAGTTCTGGTAGCTTAATACTATGTAATACTGTGTAATTCATAGAACCCAACTCTTTATTAATTTTTGATAAAGTCCTGATTTTGAAATAGTATTTTTAATTGTATTTTTGTACATTTTGTTGTTTTAAGTGTTTATTTAAATATCATGAGTAGTCTAGTTCGGTTCTAAATCTCAAAATCTTATTTAATTATTTTGTATAACTGTTTAGGCATATTGTATGTACTTCGGTCGAAAACTTTACTTCTTGTCTGTTATCATTTAAGATAACGTTAGCAGTTAACCAATTTAGAAACGTATTTTTTTATTTGGTTTTATTGAAATTAGTTGCAAGTATTATAAAGTGTAGGAAATAGCGAATATACATTTACCACTTGGGTCCGGAGTTTAAGTGTAAACTTTTGTATGAAACTTTATTTATTAAGAAAACACCGTAAGAATGATAAGATTAAACAAATAAAATCACTGATTTTTAAGTATTGTTTTTCATTTTCAACGTCGACTGACGGTGAATTTGTCCCAAAAATATAACAACAGAAAGAATCAAAAAAGCATCAGAAAAAATTCTTACTCCAAAACACTTATTGGGCTTTAGCCATTACCACTGAATTCTGAGATGTAAATCCCTGACCTTCCCCAATGTTATTTTGATTAAATTATGAACTCCGCTTGTGTATTGAGGTACCAATTTAACCACGATCGCCACAATAGCTTGATATACAACGTAAAACAAATAATAGATGTTTTGCATGCATAAATAGCATCTCGAATATTCTAGCAGCCGCCATTACTCATTCGTCGCAGGTGAACTAAAATAAATATTAACTATTTACGACGTTCAAGTTACTATTATTATCTAAAATACATAATTATATATAATACTTTTTTTATCATATTATATACAATTGTGTAATTAAGATCTTATTTAATTAATAGATATGATGAAATAATCCCCTCTATTTGTTCACTGTTAATGAGTGGCGCAATAATTTTGCGTTTAAAAATTACTAATGTTCGCACTAGTATCCTAGTAAAGAATAGTAGAAAATATCCATGTTACCTATAATCAAAGGTCACCTTTGATTCCTGTTACGCTAATCTCGGCGTAGGTACCACAGCGCTCGGCGGACCAAGCTCATAAATCACAGCACAGCACAGTTAAAATAATAAATATTTTACCTTAACTGATGTTTCACCTCAAGAATCCACTGCACAGTCTATTCAATAACTTTTCCCATTAACCACGAGAACAAAATTCCTTACTTCCAGATTGCAATCGTAAAGTTCAATTTATGCAGTCACGGCCCCTTACATTGATTGATAGCGTCCAGCCATTATGAAATATGGACGCTGCGATGTACATCTCAATACCGTATCAGTGGCGCCCTCATGCATAGATAGATGCAATTTTCATTGTTTAAAATACTTAATTTTAGTTTTAAAAAATAATAATATCCGACAAGACTTTTGTTGCAAATCTGTAAATTGCGTAAATAAATATAATAATAACATACCTTCCTTGGGAATGACCCATATCTACATTTGTGCATAGATATTTACCTACCAAAATATTTTAGCCGGTCGGTCGTACTTAAACAAGAAAGACAATAAATTAGGCACCCACCGCTACAGCTGTAGATCACAATACACACTGAATGTATTATATACCCAAATTACCCAATGTTACGAGATAATCGTCGTTTACAAACAAAGTCTACTTACCCAATCATCATTAATAAAAGGTTTTTGCAGACTCGTTCACCCTTCCGCAAGTGACAGCTAGAAATCAAAATGTAAATTAGGCACATTGACCCTGAACTTGTCACGATCTTGAAACTCATGGGGTAACTCCTCCGAGTAGCAGAGAGCGCGCCGTGTGCGAGCGAGGCGAGGCCCCCGTCCCCATCCGCGGCGCTGCCGGTGTGACGCCGCGCAGCCGCCCCGCCCGGCCGCCGCGCCGCGCAACATGTCCGCGCACCCCGTACATACTCCACTTACTTATTTCATCAACGACGAACAATTAAAACGCCATGAAAACCTACTTTCTGGACCCAAGACAGGTAACTATCGCATTATCTTTTCATTCGTTTGTGTCTTCTCGTGATGCGACGTCCCAGTGCGTGTTTCAAGTCCGATGGTGTGAGACGGCGGGCCGGTAAAAATAAAGCGTTAGAAATGACTGGGGTGAGGCAGAATGGCGGGGGTTGAGTGAGCGCCCTACTAGGGGCCGCACCCTTTGAATCACTTTGTTGTGGTTCGCACGGTGCTCCACCTGCTCGACAGGACGGTTGCACTTTTTAATATCTCGCGTGTGCCCTTGCAATCCATACCTCGACGTAACACAATTTGTCCGACTACCATGTCCGCCACGATTTCAGATTCACTAAACTGCGATGAATTTTGCTCCGTTCACTGGCCACATACCGACGGCGGCGGCGATACCTACTATCCACCAGTTCGCCGCAAAGTTCGGATATGAAAACAGTGGCAGCACCTCTGGCGGAGTGCTGCAGGAGACGCGGTACCAAGCCACGGGCACTGGTGGCGGGGCTGTGCAGTTTGCAGTCGCGCCTGGCACAGGGACTGTGGCAGTGGATGGGGTCAAGTTCCGGCAGGCGGAGAGCGTGGTGGTAGTCAGCAGTGCGCAGCCCGGCGCGGTGGCACTGGCCGGCCTTGCGCCCATACACACAGGTGACTGTTGCGATATTATCAAGAGCCACCAATCTATGCGTCGCGTGTCCGTGTAGTAACCTGTTACTCTAACACCTGTTAACGCGCAGTGTTTGTAACTCACAGTGAACACTGGCGTCAAATACCAAACTATATCGGCTTCCTCGTCTGTGAACTTGGGCAACATCGCGTATGGAGGGCAGGCCAGCTACGTGCAGGCTGAGACGGTGCACCAGCAGCTCAAGGCCGAGCAACGGCCGGAGAAGCGGGAGTACCGGGAGGAACTACACCACGACATCATGGCCACCATGATGCAACAACACCAAGGAATTAATGGTAAGTGCAATCGTAAACACCTTCATTTGTAGTCAAAAATCAATATTACTGGTTAATATATAGTAGGGATTTGTACCTATTCATAGTATTCTAGCAAAATTATTTTAACTAAAGATGTCATTTATTAAAAAAAATGTAATATAATTAAGTAACCATACTTCTATATAGTTTGTTTTAATAACACTTGAAGTCAAAGCATTTATTTCAATTAAGCCATAATTTGGTACTTGAAACTTTGGTACTTTGAAACCGCCACCTCACCTGAAACAAGTTTTATAAAGTAGGTAGCTGTACCTACTGGCCTATTCACACCAAATTGCACAGATTTATTTCTCTAAAACAAAATGAAGTCCTATTATTACCTGTGTCTATATTGCAGTGGCGCAAGCAACGCCCTTGCAACAGGGCACCCAACAGCTGCTTGTAGTGCTGCACGAGCCGAAGGAAGCTGCAGCGCTAGCTCGCGCCATCAAGCAGGAAGGCAGGAATGATCGCGCCGCCGCCACCGCTCCCACAGAGTTCATAAGTGAGTTCAAATCACTTTACACTGCATAAAGTGCATTGATTGATCCTAATCAAATTATTATTTTGAATTGAATCATCTGCAGCGCTGAGCGTTGAACTCTGCACAGGGTATGCAGATCGTGTAGTCTTGTTAAGTTAATAATATATATAACTTCTCAATTTTTATTATTTATGTAAAAAGTACTTTGTCCTCAACATGATCATGTTCACATCATCTCTATCATTCACTAGTATCCTGTGCGTCAGGCATCGGTGACGTCACAGACAGTACCACCTGGCAAACGCTGGGCGGGGGAGTGGCGGACTACCTCTCCGCCCTCCCACTCCCCCTGCACCACCTCCTCAAATATTCCACTCCAGCTAACGTGGTGGAAAGTAAGAGAGAGGAACAGCCCACCCTAGTGACCACTGTCAATGCGAACGCGTTGAATGCTATGCCTACCATAACCGCGGTGAGTTTATCATTTATTTTTAACCGACTTAAAAAAAAGGATGTTCTCAGACCTGTATGTATGTTTGTGCGGGATTATCTCGCGATTAGCTGAACCGATTTATATGCGGTTTTCAGAAAAGTGTTTGTTACACTTAAGAGAAGACTGATTTTAATAGGTATGTTAATTAACCGACTTTATAGGAATAGCCGGTTGAAGTCGGTTTTTTTAAAAGTAGCTTATAAAATAATAATTATTATTTGTTCACTTCTTTAATAATAATATTTTATAAAAAGTAACATTAATTTATTGCCACTTATGCAATGGATATACTATGTAATGGGGGAAGGATCGGTTATAGACATTGTTATAGGATAATTACATTAAAAAAAATAAACCTATCTTATATTTATTGACTCATTCGAGAATCATACCCAAGACCCTAAGTTTGTCGCGGAGAACCTAACGGTTAACCGGGGCTCCGGCTCGACGTGCAAGAGAAGGAACGGGGTGGTTTTTAGTCAGTAAAAGTCTGACACTCCCTTACGCCAGGCGGGAGCAGTCATTCGATGATTTTCCCCCCTTAAAAAAAGACCCTAAGTTTGGCACACCGGGTCTGTAACAATCAACATTGTAATTTTAAAATGTTCTTAGTTGTTCTATAAAATTACGACACCTAAGCATGATATGCTAACATTTCAGATGCCAGCGAACGCGGTGAACAGCGTAGTGGTACAAACTTCAACGATAGTGAACCAGACGGTGAACCAAAACGCTAACACTGTTGTTGTCTCGAAAAAGAAGAAGAAAAAGAAATCTATGAAGGAAAAGAAACCACGACCGAAGCCTGGAGAAATACGACTTACTACTGCTCTAGGTGAGAACATTATGCGTCCAAAAACCAAAAAGTCAAAACTAAAAAGCAAAAAATAACTATTATTAGTACTGATAGGTTACCCACCCACTGATAAGTTAGAAGTCGGTGCCCATACGTTCCATACAAAATTATTCATTAAAACCTTAATAGGTACCTAATTCACAATTTTGTGGACATAAAGTTATATCATTATGATATGAGCTTATGGCACCGACTTCTAAGTTATCAGTGGGTGGGTAACCTATCAGTACTAATAATAGTTATTTTTTGCTTTTTAGTTTTGACCTTTTGTTTGTTATTACTTTTTGGTTTTTTGAAGTCGGTTTTTTAAACGCAGTTTAAAAACAATCAGCCGAACATAGTACCTCCTCCTTATTTTGAAGTCGGTAAAAAGTACGCTTAACCGACGAGGATGAATGAAAAGACTGATGACTGTTGATGAAGCAAAAGATGTAAGAACCCCTATGAGAGACAGACGTGAAGTTATGTATGTATTAACATTTCATACTTTTAACGGCACTGTCAATAGTGTCAATAGTGGCTGGGTGCTGCACAACGCGCCGCGTGTTCGATTTTCGCACGGAACAACTCTCTGTGGTTCTTTTAAAATTAGCAGTTTTTGATACCTAGAAATAAGTATTGAATTTGACTAATATATAGAGTTAGGTACAAATAGGGTAGGGGTACCTTTAAAGTACCCTATCTTCAGCTTTTAAAGAATAATAGAAAGAAAGAAAGAAAAAAACTTTATTTCACGATAAAAACAAGTAACATGCACAGATAAGTAATTCTATTAGTAGGTACTGATGGATACATGTTCATGCCCCGAGTCTGCCGTGAAATGGGACCAGTTCATGTGCAAGACAGGACCTTTCGCTGGTATTCTACTGGCCCCTTAAGTGACTCTATTATATTTATTTATTTAACAACTTTGGAAGACTAACAGCTACCTAACAAAACAAAAATTAAGACATTGTGTGAGAGTCTGACAGCCAATGACAAGTCTTCACATATAAAAAACAAACTTATACTATAAAAGAATGTGGTCGACACAGTACTCCCTACAATTATATTACTCCCTACAATATTATTATATTATTTCTATTGTATTAGTTAGAATAAACTTGTAACTTAATATACTAATCCCAAGACTAATAAGGTTGCCAATCCAAGCAAGATTAGTAATGTATACCTTATTAACTACTACCGACCCGCCCCGGCTTCGTACGGGTTCAATATTCATGTATTGTACATATAAAGGGTTAATATATCTTTAAGAATCACTTATCTCTATAAAAAAACCGCATCAAAATCCGTTGCGTAGTTTTAAAGATCTAAGCATACATAGGGACAGACAGACGGCAGATAGCGACTTTGTTTTACACTATGTAGTGATATAAATAATATAATGTATTTAGTAAATTAATATTACACGCTTTTCAATTTGTTACAGATGGTAGCACATTGTACTGCTGTCCGGAGTGTCACATGGCGTACCCGGAGCGAGATTTATTGGAACAACATCTAGTTGGACACACCATGGAGAGGAGGTAGGGAAACTAAATAATAAATAGCAAATAGTTTAAACCTACAGAGCACCCTACGCAAGAACCTCATAGCAGCTTCTAATTTCTTCTCGATGCTGCGCCGCTCTATGAGCAGTTGGGCAGATCGACATTGGTATTGTGAAATTTCGTACTCTGGAGAAGCAAAACTAGCGCCCATTGCATCTGTATCGCGTGGATACTAAAAACTACAGGTAGAAACTACAGGTAGTTGGGTGCAGAGTGAAGATTTTTATTCGTTTAAACAAGTACACATAGTTCATACTAGACGGCACTAGTAGCACCTTTAATTATTATTTTGTTATCTATTTCAACAGATATTTAATGAACTGCTGAATGGTATTGAATTGAGTTTGGTTTATATTCCCTACTCTGAATGCTATTTTAACAGATACGATAGGGGTGGGTTATATATTATTGACTTTGAATAATTATCGAAATGTTTTTCGATTAAAATTGCATTGACATTAAGATTTATTCAAGAGCAAGCACCCAAATTTGTATGAAATAAAAAATCATATACTTAATTGTCGTTTTTAATCATCTCTAAAAAGGTGTTGGATTTGACTCCTTAAGTCTTTGAACTACACTATTTCGACAAACAAAAACTAATAATAATTTTTCAACCAGAGACTTGAACTCATAGCTCAGTAAGTTTTTTTTATGGCATAAGCTGGTAAACGAGCAGACGGATTACCTGATGGTAAGCAATCAACGTCGCCCATGGACACCTGGAACACCAGAGGCGTTACAAGTGCGTTACTGGCTTTTTGGGGATTAGGAGTTTGAGGATCATTGGAGATTCAGGGATTGGGGAGATTGGGGAAGGGGAGGGTAATTGGGCCTCCAAGTACTCCAATTAAAAGTAATCAAAAAATCAATATTCCAGGTTCATCTGCGACATATGTAACGCGGCATTGAAGCGCAAGGACCACTTGACCCGCCACAAACAGTCCCACAACCCGGACAGGCCCCACGTGTGCTCCGTCTGTCTGAAGGCGTTCAAGAGGAAGGAACAACTCACGCTGCACTTTGTCATACATTCCGGCGAGAAGAGACACGTCTGTAATGAGTGTGGGAAAGGTAAGACAAAAAATAACTTATTAACCAACAAAAAAAAACATACATTAACATACATACATTTTTTTTAAACATTGCTCCACACTAGGATTTTCTCCTGTGTCGTGGGTGCGTTTACAAACATACAATATCACATACACATGACACCCAGACCCGAAACAACAATTTGTGGATCACACAAAGTGTTGTTCCGTGCGGGAATCGAACCCGCGTCACGCTGCACGGCAGCCGGTTGCCCAGCCACCGCGCCAACCGTGCAGTCTCGAAAAAGAAGGAGATTCTCATTTGACCTCTATATACTTATGTATGCGGTTTTAGAAATGCGTTTGTTACACTCAGGAGAAGGTTTTAGATATATCAATAAACCAACCTAGGGGAGGGGGGAGGAGATTAACGTCGGTTTTTAATCGGAGTTTATACAAATAATTATTTGACTTCCTTCTGTTCTGATACTAAGTTACTTGGAAGTAGCAATTCTTTCTTCCTTTCTCTTCTTATTAAATGTCGTCTTCATACAATGGGTTGGTGCTGAAAATCAGCGCCGTGGGCTCGAGCCCCTGTGCCCGGTCCACTTGCGCTGCGACGCACCATAGGCTTTTTTTGTGTTCTTGTTGTGTGTCGTAGCAAAATAAGTGGTTTTTCTTTCTTTTCTTTCCTTCTTTCATATAAACTCTCAAGACTGTTAGACTACGCATTTGAGAAATCGTGCTGTAGAGCTATCTTAAACTGAACTATTTAAACAATTAGGAGATTTTAGTAAACGCTCCTATGTTAAGGAGGTCCATAGGTCAGTGGCTGGGCGGGCCACGGGCCATTGATGAGCACTGACATAGAGATCTGACTGACATATTTCTTTATATGTTTTTTTTTTACATAACATCACGCCTTTTATCCCCGAAGGGGTAGGCGAAGGACCACATTATGGCCACTGTACAATGTAACATCCACTTTTTCTCATGTAATAGGGGGTGAGCTTATTTATCCACATACTGGGCACAATTCCAGACTCCGTGTTACTACTGAGAATTCTTTAAAAACCCAGTAATACTTTGCCCGACCCGGGAATCGAACCCGAGACCGGCTTTTTTTATTAAACTAGAAAATAAAATCTTTTTGAACCATACAACGTTAATACAATTTTACCACGTTCATGTACAGGATTCTACCGCAAGGACCATTTACGCAAGCACACACGGTCTCACATAGCTCGGCGAGTGAAGGCCGAGCTCTCTCAACAAGGGTCTTCGTCCCCACCGCTCTCCCACGCTGTTCCCGCGCCAGCCCCGGATCCTTCCTGACCGACTGATGACAAGAACACCGCAGATCTCCTCTCACTCATCGCCTCAACCAAAGACGGATATTAGCAACAGAAGCAGTGTCATATGTAGAGTCGGTAGGTGACTTGATTCTTTATATTGGCTACCGTTGTTCATTAGATAGAAGTAATTTAGTCCCAGTAATTCTTTATTGAAGAAACGATACGCTACAGTAGCTTTCACGAGCAAAATTAACGGCAGTCCTCATTGCAATGAAGATTCTGAATTTTTTAGCTCCATAGATGGCACCAGTGTAGCTTAAAGTCATGCTAGTCATTTTATCAGTTAACATTTACTTAATAGTTTAAGTTCAATCAGTCAAGTTATTTGCTCTGCAGGTAAGAAAATAAATAAAGAATAAAGACACCAGCTATTAACTTATGAACAGGTCACGAATTGAAAATTTAAAGAATCAACTCACCTCACTGCAAATCTAATCTCGTACCTATGTATGTATTAAGAAGTACATAATAATATTTAGATTATAGACATGCAACAACAATTTAACGTAGCTACGAAACATAATGCCAATGCCAAGTGACTTATTCAGACTATTCATAGATATTACAAATAAGCATAAATAAATATTATTATTAATTTTAAAGCAATATCGTATAGAACATCAGATATTTTGTGTAGAACATTTTTGAATGTTTGTAATTGCGTATTTTTTGTAGATCTACCTTTCAGTGAGAGTAGGTAAAAGCGAGTATTATGTAAGGCCAGGGTGTATATGCAATGTCGTACTTAAATATGTGATATATCGTGCGATGGGAGTTACCAGTCTAGTTGAATATAGCCTGTAATGTAAATAGAGTAATAGTAGACGTTCCAATCACGATCTGACAAGATTTTTGTCAAAAAATATAGCGAATGTTTGCCCATGTAGCAAAAATGTAGTAAACAGACACAGTGCACACTGTAAGTCTACTATAACATTCACATTTTGCTATGTATAATGTAAATAAGCTGCAGTTTCTGGTGAACAATGAAATTAGGCCAATTTTTACTCTTGTTTAAATAGAAATTGTAATGAAATTGTTGTTTAATGGCAAATATAACATAATATCACACCTTTTTGCCCCCAAAGGGGTAGGCAGAGGTCCATATTACGGCACTGAATGCCACTGTACAATGTGACACCCACTTTTTACTATTTATGTTATGAGTCCCATGTAATAAGGGGTGAGTCTATTGCCATATACCAGGCACAATTTCAAACTGTGTGCTACTACTGAGATTTAAAAAAAAACAGCAATACTTTGCCCACCCCGGGAATCGAACCCGAGACCCCTTGCGCCGGCAGTCGCACTTGCGACCACATGGCCAACGAGGCAAATATAATTATATTTAGGTATGTGACTCATAAATTGCTATTTATTGTGTTCACTATAACTGTCGCGTAACGAGTGGCAGTTCTCGCTGACGCGCATACATTATATACTTATCATGACCCTACATATACAATATTAATTTATAATAATATGTAATTATACATCATTAATTCATTAATTATAACAGTTTATGTTAAGTGAATGGTTTAATTTAGTTGGTCATCAGAACATTAGCAAGCGATGGAATGTCTGCAAGATCATATAGAATAGATGGATAATATTATACATACATACTTATATTAATTAGCTAGTTATCGTTCTAAATTATAAATGCGAAAGTGTGTGTGTATGTTTGTCACTCAATCAGGATGAAATTTATAACAAGAGCTGACATTGGTCTGGGATAAGACATAGGCTACTTTATATCCGACGGCAACGCGGGCGAAGCCATTGGAAGAAGTTAGTAATTTATGTAGGTATTATTATATTACTTTCACTTTAGTTATTTTGTTATATTGTTATTCATTTTGTTTTAACGTTATGGCCGGTACGGCAAGTGATGTCTAATGATTAAAATACAAAACACAGGAATATTAAATGAAGAAATAAGCAATAATAATACTTATTGTAAATACTTATGAAATAAACACTGCCACAATGATGTTAGCAAGATACTCATTATAATGTTTTATGGTTATTTTTTTGTTTACCTAATTAATAATTATATTTTAAGGAATTTGAAAAAATCTTTTTTGTTTGTTAGTCCTATCGTTCTGTGAAATTTGGCTATTTGTAAATACGTCGAATATATTATTACCTATATTTTCCTGTGATATAAGTTCCATATAGAATTGTGTTTTATATAAATTAATGTTCTACCTTGAAGGTTTGTTTTCTATTTATTGTTGTTAGTTTAATGTCATTCGACGTTTAGTTTATTTGTGATCCTCTATACTTAACGTAAGTAAATGTTTATGCAACATAGCTGTTATATACATAGAATGTTTGTTCATAAATTGTAAATTAGGAACATAGTTTAGTGCCTACGGGTAGCAGTTCACATATTAACGTACAAAACATATTTTTATAGGAAAAATTAAAATTCAGTTTTAGATGTTTTTGAGTCAATGCTCACGTGCAACTTTTGAAAAGATTTAAAAGTACAAAAACTTAATGTTTTATGTAACGACGATATAATTGTATGTGAAGAGTTTTAAGTTCCTGTATGGTACACTTGGTACCACGTTAAGCTATGCAAAACCACTACAAACTACCCGTTGAACGAACGAACGTACAGGATCATACAAAGAAATACCATAAAAAATTGGTTCTGTATAGTTTGATGTGTCGCCGTTTACAGATTGTACTAAAGCCGCACGCGCCTTAATGTCGCATAAGCAATGAGAATAGTAGAATAAGATCCTTTTACTTTACCGATTACACTAAGCTTTTGTACCAAGATGTTGACGTTACGGTATACGTTACATTTTTGTCTCTGTAATGTATCGTAAGACCAATTACCATTAGCATATGTCCAGCAAGAAGTTTTAAATGATTGTGCGAAAGGATGCCGGGCAGAATATGCCACGTCTTATGTCGTTAGAAAGCTGTTTTCATGACTATCATTTGTTATTATGGGGGCTAGTCTCAATTCGTTGTGGGAAACATGTTATTAGCAATTGTAATTGCTAATACGCCTTAAGCAAACGTGGTGATTAATACTCTTTCCTTCCCCATGTAAGAAGTTTTTGTCCAAGTAGGACATTTATAGGTTATTTCAAATAATGAAGATGGAACCTTTAGATATTCAATACGCCACTCTCGACTCTTGTTGGACAAACGTTAATGTTAAAGCAACTTAGCCCCTAATATTTTTGACAAATAGTGATAAATAGTACCATAATATAGCCAGCTTCCCCATTACCGAACTTGTGCTTTCATATTTTAACTTAAATAAAAACATTTTACTTGATTTACGCAGTTTTATTTTACGACACCTTACAAGCCAACTTTGATATGTCGGTACAAGAAAAAAGTCCAAGCCTTCTTCTGCTAATAATGGACACTCCCACTAACGACATCTTTCCTGGTCGAGGGATAGGATAGGAGGACTAGGAGTGGAAGATTAAACTTTACTTTTATTATTTTTTAAATTTTAGCGACATATATTTTATCGCCTCGAGTGGCAACTTAGCAGATTGTTTCTTGTGTTCAATATTTTACTGCAGTCTTCACGTTGATAAGTGTTACCAGAAAGTCAATATTAGATTCCTTACAAACTTCTACGAGGATTGAAGAAAAACACCAAATAGAGTGCAAAATACTTTATTTTTGTACTTCGAAGTCGCATTTATTCAAACTTAGATTAAAATCACAACGTTAATTTTTGTGAAAAGACAAAAATAGAGGAACTTTACATAAAGATAAACTTACAACTAATTGCGACCGCATGTCAGTTACAATGTTTGAAACACATTCTATAATATTACTAACACAAATTACATACAGACCACGATTTACAATTATTAGCAGAAAAACCTCCTCTTTTGTAGAAAGTCGGTTAAAATTGCACTAAAGATGAATAAAGAAACTATATTACTGGGTATATTTTTTAACCGACTACAAAAGAGGAGACTATCATTATCCATTAGGGCAAATATGAATGAATGTACATCAATAAAAAGTAAAATTTGTTTATTTACACGGGAAATATATTACAAGTCTAACTCGCATTCCTCTGGTATATTCCAAATATATGACGAACATTGTAACTGTCAACATTTGAGTATTTGGTTTCCATGGCACGATATGTGTGACACACTTAGAACTAATTTAATTTCCTTCATTTCCATACATACGAGATAATCACAAGATCTTATAATAAGAAATTATAGACTTTCTGTATACATTCATAAGGCTGGTATTTGAGTCAAGCTGATTGTCGACGCCGATTAATAAGTAAATACGAAAAATATCGCCTAGGCGCAGGGAGCGTTTCGTTTAACACGTTAAACGCCATGGGGGTCATCGGTGTCCGGCGTTAGCGGAGGATTTGATTTCAACAGTTTTTTATTGGCAGTCAAAGTCTTAAAGTTTGTAGGAGTGGAATTCCTTGCTAAGGTCTAAACGGGGTTAAGGGATCGGGATGACATTAGAACATGGGTAATTTATGGTTCGGAATAACACAGGCTACTTTATCCCACGGGAAATCAGTACAGGAATAATTTTTACAAGTAATATCGAGACTGTACTTAAAAGGACTGCTTCTTTGGCCGAGTGGTCGCAAGTGCGACTGCCAGGCAAGGGGTTTCGGGTTCGATTCCCGGGTCGGGCAAAGTATTACTGAGTTTTTAAAAAATCTCAGTAGTCGCACGGAGTCTGGAATTGTGCCCGGTATATGGCAATAGGCTCACCCCCTATTACATGGGACTCATAACATAAATAGTGAAAAGTAGGTGTTACATTATACAGTGGCATAATGTGCACCTCTGCCTACCCCTTCGGGGATAAAAAGGCGTGATGTTATGTTTTATGTACTTAAAAGGAATCAGCGTGGAACAAGAACTAACAATCAGCGACGTTGGTCAACATGAGAATAAACCAGCCTAATTCTTATTTTAAAAATACCGACCAAAGTTTTATTAAAAACATTCAATGTTAATATTTAGATAGACGAAGTTGAGATATGCATACTAATGATTGAGATCATGTGATTTGGACCCAGTGATCATTTACATTAGAAAAGTGATGATATTGGGTGAAAAAACCCGATTTTAATACAAATTTTTACAATTTCTTTTTAGATCCCATTTTTGTGTAAATTACCATTAGACATATTATATTGAAGCTTACACATATATTGTAGAAAAAGCTTTCGAAGAAGTCATAATAAATTAATTATGACATACGGCTAACTCACGTAACTGTTCGAGAGTGTACGACTACTTTCAAGCCACGACCGGGGCTCATAACAAACGTAGTGAGAACGTCGATCGTAATTTCAGAGAGTTAAGTACATTCTAATTAAATATGAGTAATTTTTTTTTTTTTGTTTCCAAGAACTTAACAGAAAGTCGTCTATTTTAGAGGTTGTATTCATAACAAATACTTCGTCAATACACTTGAACTATAATGCAGTTTTATATAGATACACTCAGTTAACACATATGAAATGTATTTAGATTTTAAGTTTGTAGCATTTTTTGTCTGAGATAATTTAATTATTATTATTTACAAGAACATACAAAACCACAAATAAAAGTAGCTTTCTATATCTTTATATATAGAAAAAAAATACATTTTACTTTTAAAAATAGAGCAAAACAACTTTATATACAAAATTTCATATTACAGAGATTCTTACAATAAACGGTAAATATTAAAGTGGCATTATTTAACTTAAACAATACATGTATATTGAAATTCATACAATCTTCAAAATATTAACTTTGTACACAATTTATTATCTAATTGTATGTCTATGGCATTTTATACAGAATTGTTACCTTTGCAACTAATCTCAATGTAAATTTAATTTAACTCCAATAAAATCTCAATATTAACTCAATGTCAAGACTACACCGTACAATTTTCTAATTGGATAGCGCATTTAACGAAGATGGCTATAGGCTATAAAACATCACGCTACGACCAATAGGATCTGAGCAGAGCGTGTGAAACCGCGCGGAAGTAGCTAGTATATACATAATTTGTGAGTGTTGCCAGTCAAGAGTACGAAATTTAAACAATATCAATGTCAATCGATCGGAATTGGATTCAAGAGTAAGCCCTCTGGACAGAGTTTACAGATTCATTATGAATTAAGTAAGACTTTATATGAATTAAGAAAAATAATGTTATTTAATTACTTTTCTAAATTCATCAGATTTAACGTATGAAGTGACGGAACAGATCTACGCGAGACGGTATATAGTGATATACCGTGTTTTCTATTGCGTCTCATATAGTCGATATATCATATAGACAAGAGGTGATATAAACATGACGATTTATACTATTGATATTGTATTTTAGAGATCATAAAATGCGATTCATATTTTTTTATTTGGCAATATTTTATTTTTTATTTTGGACTTTGAAATGTCAAGATCTTACTAAGAACACTAAGTCCGTGCAACGGTCTTACCCGCTTGCGGTTAACGTCGAAACATCTAACTTCTTTATGAATTACAAATACATCGGGTAAAATTTTGTAATATATCACGATTTGCAAATAAATCGCGGTAAATAATATATTAACGAGACTGTAAAAAGTGTCTAATTAAAGATTAATAGAAATAAATGCATTGACTTTAATTTGCAATAAAATATCACAATTTACTTAGATTCTATTCGATCATGTACAATATTTTTTATTATATTTCCCGTCTAAAATGCCACAAAAGTACATTTCAGTCAATGAACGTAAAAATACTTTGAAGAAATGTATCGTTCGGGGAAACTTTTGAACTAACGTTTAGTTTATTTCATTGATATTTTATCGACGACTCAGCAAGTTTTTTGACTCAACTTAAAAGATAATGCCCAAAAATGAATGAAATAAAAACCCAGAATAGATTAAAATAATTTACGTGTGGCAAGATAGGTAATCAAAAATAAATTATTTCGACTGTTCAATACAATATTAAATAATAATCACACTTTCATTAATTGATTTTATGACCAACTTAATTTTAGTATATTTCCAGTGAATTTTTAAGAAATAAGTATGCTGATTGACGCTAAAAAAACGCGACGTCACAATTCACAATCTCGTACAAAATTCACAGAAAACTGTCTTTTTTGCAGTTCGAAAAAAGTATTGAATTTGACTAGTTGGCAAATACCCAATTCATATAAATGTAATTCGTCTAATCTGTATTGTACACCTATTTCATTAGTATTAAACGCAGTAACAAAACAATGCTATACAAAATTGTAATATACCGCAGGCTCCTGGCCCGTTACCTTATGGATTTGGTCTGAACTAATAGCGTATTTGCGACACCCTACTTATGGTCTATTAAATTGTTCATGAATGATTTTAACCGATCCTGGATTTAATTGGGTATTCTCCTTTCCATGTAAAACTGACAATTCGTTTATTGAAAGTTATTTTTTCGCTATTAACGCTACAGGGCGCGTTGGGACTGATTTTATCGTCGGTGTACCAGTTAAATAATATGACTGACGCATTTTTGTTACTTTTGAGACAGAGGGCGTAGTACAAGTTTGTTTTACTTTTAAAGTTATCGATACGAGACCGCGTTGTGCGCTCTGATTGGTTGGTTCATTAGCGCCGACCAATCAAAGCGCCGAACGCGGTATCGTATCGTTTACTTTAAACGTAGAACAGGCCTTCTGGTAAGAGTCTTTTGCTTATGGCCTACAGAGGCCTATATTTAGCAAGTGGACGTCCTAATATGATATAAAGATGAAGCGTTTTTTTTTGTTAAACTTACTATTATTAATAATAGAGGCCCGTGTCACAATGTCTGGGTAGGCACTATATGCGAGATTTTAAAAGAAGAAAAGAAAGAGATAGAAAGCTGTGGGTCGCGGTGATGCTTGACAATAAATATAATCGACTGATGCATTCTTTTTTTTAACTTTTGAGACTGATAAACGTCATTTGATTTGACGTTTGACCACTATCTCGCCTGGTGGTAAGCGATGATGCGGTCTAGGATGGAGCACGTCGTCCTGTAAGCAACCTATTCACTCGGGCCCTAGATTTCACTAGGGCCGGGCTAAAGGTGGTGGTGGCCCCGAATCTATGTAAAAAGAGTATATTAAATATTTTTGCTGTGTAGTCTGGTTTTTTGGTTTTGAATACATTAAGATTAGTTGGGATCAGAAGCTTGAGGGTCGACGGTAACTTCTCTCTGCTCTCCGTTGTCCATCGACACAATCATTTGGTAAGGTACTTTGATTTGCAGAGGCACACGCAGCTTCGCCGTCGATGGTGCCTGGAATTTAGGTATTGTATTTATTAATTATAGACGTTTTTACTAATCGCCCCTAAACCACCTCTTAACTAAGAGTTACTTAGCGTGAGGAAGCACCTTAATTAACAATTACATATACTGTTAGGTGTAAATTCTTCTTCTATTTTCTTCTTTTTAAAAACATTACACCACACTAGGATTTTATCCTGTATCGTGGGTGCGGCGTTCACAAACATAAAAGTTCACGTACACATGACACCCAGACCCGGAACAACAATTTGTGGATCACACAAAGTGTTGCTCCGTGCGAGAATCAAACCGCTGCACGTTGCGCGGCAGCCAGTTGCCCAGCCACCGCGCCAACAGCGCAGTCACTTATAGGTTGGTGCGTCAATATGTCGTTAAATGTCACCTATCACCTGCTTATGGGTCCTTTAGGAAAGGTTGGTAACAACAGGCTTAAGAAAAAGGTAGGTGGGTTTAGGGGATTGTTGTTAGTATTATTTAAAAGAACCATTTAATTATGTAGATCGCTGCCGGAGGCTCCAAAGAAAACCAAGAACTTCTTAGACAAACTTTAATTATTAATAAAAAGTTACAAGTTAATTCCTATCTGCTAATACAATTGATCCTGTTCGATGCAAGAATCAGAATGAATCTTATTATAATGCTAATAATTAATCCTAAGTTACAATTAGGATGACGAAATCACTTTCCGGTAAGTAAGCGAGTCAGAAATCGAACAATACCGCGAGGTGTCGCAATAGATTTCACATGTAAGGGTCTTACTAAGCATTGGCATTGAGGCCGATGCACACTTTGCACTTTACGTGTCGTAATGCACTATAACACTGTTATTAAGAATTATCATTAAGGCCGATGCACACATAGCACTTTACGAGAGTCATGTACTATAACACCTCCACCCGCAGATCAGCAACTATTTTCGAGACATGAATTGAGAAAGAGTTGCTGGATTTGGTTGTCTTGTCTCTGATTTTCCAGGCTCTGCATATACTGTCTCCTCCTGAAGGGATTTCGTTTGGAGTTTTCTGCTTTGAAACGTCTTATTGCACCGTATAATAAGTAGTATAATGAGTGCAAATGCACTTAACAACAGCAAGGTGTAAAATGGGATCGTTGTGTGGTACAGTGCGTCATCTGGGATTTGGTTGAGGCTTATTGCAGGTTGCGCCATTAGTTGATACTGGACATCATGTACTCTTGAAAGATCTATCGAGTTCAGTTTCAGTTGCGTCATCTTTTCAGGTTTTATGTCCATGTTGTAGGATATATTCATAATCTTCAGGGGGCGTCCCTCCACGTGATCGTTGACATTGGTGATAGCAAATTCTGAGGTATACAGGAAGCAATTTTCGGGAACTGTGGCTAAGTAGCTACCATCTACTGTTATATAGTCTTCCTTTCCACATACAGTGTGAATCCTTGTTGAATTCGGGAAAGATATGACGTAGTGTCTTTCGTCCAGTTCTTCCATTGAAGCCTTTGCTAGGGTTAGTTCCATGACGTCACACTTCTCATCTATAGTTTGGTCCAAGATGAGATGCTGCATACAATCAGGTTGCTGCCGCAGCTGGTGGTCCATCTTGTCGGCACAGAGATACCAGTTATCGTACTTCGGGCATTCTGCCTCTATGTACACAAAACCCTTCCTGTTAGTTGCCATCAATGGAAAAGGAGGGATGAGGGCCTGTTTGAATTTATTAGGAGCTATTGACAACTTGTAAAGATCGAAACTATCCGTCGCAAATATAGGCAACTTAAAGACTATAACTATCTGGCTACTACAATAATAGTCGTCATAAAATTCGTGTCGTAAAGAAAAATCTATTATTGACACAGAATTCCGTGTTCAGAAACAAAGAACTCGAGACTATCACAGATTTCCAATAGACTACAAGCTAATATTTCCATTAGTGCATTCACATTAAGGTCTATTTTCAAATACCAACCATAGCTCTAGAGTATTAAAAATTCGAAAGTAGGATTCAGCAAAAGCATTTAGACTTAGGACATTGTGTTTAACTTAAAGAGCTCAAAATCTATTCTAGTCTATCTTCTACTAGTACAAAAATATTAAAACATAGAACACGACCAGTATAAGTTGATACTTACATGTATCGTGATTTCAGGCATCACCGTGGTCTTCTTAGGTACCTGGTGGATGGGGACCAGGGCGGGGACCTCCTTCTTAGGCTTCGGATTCTTGTTGTGAACTGACATGTGCTTCTGCAGGTGGTCTTTGCGGTAGAACCCTGGAAATAATATAAAAACAATTATATTAATATAATGTATATAGGTATTAGGGCTCGTACACAATACTGCGATGCGATGCAAATTCGCAATGCAAAAAATTACGATGCGAATTGCTGCGATGTGATTTCGTGCGACAAGGCGTCTCCCAGGGTGATCATTCCTTCGATGACCGTCAACTGTACTAAATGTATTTTAAAATTTAAAACTAGGTCGTGACATGGATTGAAAAAGAAGTGTGCAGTGTTGTTATTGCTTAGGAGATACAGGAAAAAGAAACAAAGATTTTGATGCGAATTAATTCGCACATTTTTGCGATGCGACGTCGCATCGCAGTTTTGTGTACGGGCCCTAAAGTTTAAGCGTTAATTTGTTTGTTTGAACGCTCTAATCTCAGAAAGTACTGGTACGATTTGAATAATTATTTTTGTGTTGGATAGCCCATTTATCGAGAAAGGTTATAAGTTAAAAAACATAACGCTACGATGAATAAGAGCCAAGCAGCGGGTGGAACTATTCAGTTGCCACCGACCACCATATTGAACTATAAGACAAACTAAATATTCTATAAGCTTACCTTTCCCACATTTGGTGCAGAAGAAGGATTTGATGCCGGTGTGTATGTTCAAGTGTATCTTGTAGTGGTCTTTCCTCTTGAACGGCTTGTTGCAGTACTTGCAGACAAACACCCGCTGCGGGACAGGGATCTCTTTCTCTACAACGTTTAAGTACTGTATGCTTTCTATCGCTGCCAACTCTCCTAAGTCCATCTGTAATATGATATCAAGAATAAGTATCTCACCTTCACTCTCTGTGTTAACTGGACACACAAACCACCATTTGTGTGTATGTTACCACATCAAAATCGGTTCAGTTAATCGCGGGATAATTGCAGACAAAAATAATAGAAAACATTCTTTTTTGGAAGTCGGTTTTAAAAATAATCAAATACGATTGTTTAACCCCTCGAGCGTCCTTCTGAGCACCCGGTGGATCATAAGAAAAAATGCTCCATGCTGCTTTCTCTTTTATAAAATCTATTATTCATGTTTTGTTTTTATTTTCACTGTATTTGTTTTATTTATATTGTAATGATTGATCCTTGTTTCCGTGTGTCAATGGCCAAATAAATGCATTTTCTTTCTCCAAATGTCACGTGTGCATCCGTTGGATCATAAGGAACGCGGACGCTCGACGGGTTAATAAAGAACAACAAAGCCTTAGAACAACTTTGTTTTATGTTTAAAGTAATCGAAACAAGACTGGGTTCGGTGGTCTAATTGGTTGGGTCATTGGGCCCGGCCAATCAAAGGCCAATTTAAGATGCCGCAGCGAGCCATGGAGAGGGCTATGCTCGGAGTTTCTCTGAAAGATCTGTAACGAGGTAGCCCAAAGGTTTAGCAAGCTGAAATGGCAGTGGGCCGGTCACGTTTGTCGAAGAACCGTGTTCTGTAGTGGAGTTGCGTCTAGGCAAACATAGTGTCGGGCGCCGGGACCAGCAAGGTGGAGTGACGATATCCGCAAAGTGGCTGGCAGTGGTTGGATGGAGAGGCCTATATCCAGCAGTGGACGAGAACAGGCCGTTGAATGATGAATCAGAGCCCTCTGATAGTGAATAGTGACAATAGTACTTACATATTCCGCGGGGTATTTATTTTCTTTTTTATGTTCTTGTAGTGCAATTTGTGGATACAATGGTTCGGAAGACTGCTCGTTCTGTTCACTCGGTTCGTTCTTTATGTCATCGTCCTGTGACATGAACTGGCACTGGTGCCTCTCATACTGCTCGTTAGCAAGGAATCCTGGAAGATTACGTATTTCGATTAGTATTAGCTCTTTATAGGGAAATAAATTGTGGGGGAGAGGTAAATATTGCTGTTTTTATAATACTATATCGTGAGAAATACTAAATTGACTAAAAATTACGGCTCTCTACTAACTCAAGGGAAAATACAGAGAAAAGCTCTACTAGTTACGAGCCACAGAGGGATTCTTCGTCATGAGCAGCGTGCGTGGTCGCGGCGATATCGGATAGCCTACTGGCTGGCGTCGCGTCGGTGTAACTAGTAGAGTTTTTCTCAGTATTTTCACGTAAGTAAACCGTGATTTTTAGTTAATTTTGAATATTGCATGTTATTTTTCTTAATTAACAGTTCTTTTGCCAATTTCTTTTGCAGAATGTTATGGTTCATTGTACAATTTTGTCTAACAATTTACTTTACAATAGTAACTATAAAATATAATATATATAAAATTATATATAGTACGATATTAAATGTTTTCTTTAAGTAAAATTTCTAGGACTTTTATGCTTTTTTCACATGTTAATTAACAGAAAACTACAATATCATTGGTGATGAAAATGAAAAGTAAGCAAATATCAACTCTATCCTGCCACATATACGGTCTAGACTGTAGAAGGATATTAAACCTACCTTCCCCGCAGTATGAGCACCATATAGCGTCGTCACTCTGTTTGGAGTGCACCTTCATGTGTACTTTAAGGTGTTGTTTCCTCTTAAACCGACGGCGACAGATCTCGCACTCGTGCGGACGACTCTCCATGTTCTGACGGGCTACCAAAAGACTATTATCTGAACTCTGAAATTAAAAAAAAAACATCGGTTTATTGGTTGGTTCTATGGTGGGGTAGGTTTCAGGGGTACGGTTTGTATAATTCTATTTATTTATTGGATTGGACAACTGTTTTGTGTAATACGCAAATTGGGATATTTAAAAGAGGGGTTAAAAATATGTTGTTTAAACTATTTAGTTGGTTAGAATAATTAATAATCCATATGTCAAATGAATAACAATAACAAATCATGTTAGTATACTGGCAAGTCCAAAATATCTATTTTATTGTTTTTTAGTATTTCTTTTTGCAGTGGCAAAATCATCTGTGAAAATTTCTACATTTACAAACAAAGCCAGAATCATGACTGGACTTTCTATCATAATTGGTGTTCCAAACACGATTACATAAGGTGCCGACACAAATACATAGACACAAGTACATACGTAAACTAACAAACTTAGTAATACCGCTTCAGGCGATCCCCAGTGGGATGCGCCCCGGTAAGGTGTGGGGGGTCTACGGCCCAGCTGAATCAATTTAACACTGGATTGGGGATTAAAGGCCGACGCTCAGTGTCGACACAGCACGATAAGGCATAGAAAAGAATTTTATTACTAATCAAGTTACTTTGAATCTTATTTCAATGAGTTTAGAGCTCATGTTACTTTATTTCGATACCACGATGCCGTGGCATGACGAGTCTACGTCAATGCGTCCCGTAAGATGTAACGGCCGATTTATGTCGAGTAATTATGACTGCTAAGCAAGTTGAAATAAGGTGGTAACTTGTGTGCAGCGGTCATGGCAGAGTAGCTGGCATAGCATAGCAATCTCGCACCATGCCGCAGTGAGTGACGGCCCTAAAGAGTCTAACTGGTAGTCTTTTGAAAGGGTACAAAATAAGGAGCATTAGGTATTGAAATAATGAAATCAGTAGTTAGGTAGAGTTTGTGATTTGTTAAAACCTAGTTTTCTCAATTAATTAGATTCACAGTTTATGTAACTGTTCGAGAATGTTACTCGATTAGTTAGCTTTGGCCCCGGCGTGGCTTGAAATTAGTCGCGTACCTTTGTTACCTCTTTTCTCCTGTGGCTGATTTCTACAGGAAGCTTAGGTATTAATAAGCTTACGTAAGGTAAGATCTCTAGTTAGAGAAGATTAGTCAAACTGCATGGTTTATTCTAGAAAAATGGTTATTACATATTTCATACACATTGCTTGTCTATTATTGTGGTGGACAGAGACAATAGTACCTAAATACTATTTTTGCATAGAGCGACATCTGATGGTAAGCAAGCACCGCCTATGGTCACCGTAAAACCGACACAAAGAATTATATATATATATATTTTTTTTAAATAAATAATAAATTGAATTTCTCCACGGACTCGTGTCCGTGCCCTTGTCATGTTACAAGTACATAATTGTCATGGTCAAATATATATATTTTTTTATAAATATCTTACATGCTACGCCTACCACTATCACTACACACAATACTTTATGTTTTTACCTAATTATTATAGTCTTATCTTAGACTAACCCTACTGAATCAGCCCACCAGCACGATGAAAATTATATATTGATTGTATATACTTACATTGTTATGGTTGATAGTTTCGTCATGTATGTATTCTCCAGGCCCCTCGTATATGGTGTAGGGCTGGAGGTGGATGCTCATATGCTCAAGGAGATGCTCGTCAGTATGGAAAGCTGTGAAGAAGAGAAAAGATACGCTATTATTAATCACTTTATACAATAGGGAAGATGCAAATATGATATTTATGAACATGTTATGACTAAAATGTAAAAGAAGGGCTACTTCAACGTTTTTATTTTATACTATGTCGATTTTTAAGATTAATTACGAATTAAAGTTACGTAAAACGGAACGCATTTCAAATACACTATCAGAGTTTAGTGACGTCACTTTTGTCACGGCAACTTTTTTGAGGTATATTTTGCGTGTAAAATTATTTACGTTTTTAATAAAAATCGAAGTTGGGTTTATAAAAGCAGACTCCAGGAATTTACCATGAGTTAGTGTCGACATGGTAGTAACATTTTTTGTCGAGAGTCCAGTTTTCTAGTGTAGAATTGAAAGGGGACTAAATTACTACGGTATGCATGAATTTGTCACGGAGAACCTAACGGGTAACCGGGGCTCCGGCTCGACGTGCAGGAGAAGGAACGGGGTGGTGTTTAGTCAGTAAGAGTCTGACACTCCCTCCCGCCTCACCTAGGCGGGAGCAGTAATTCGATGATTTTCTCCCCATAAAAAAATGCATGAATTTCATTTTATGCATGGCCTAGCTGCTGCCTACGGTTTCGCTCGCGCTCTTTTAAGGGGTTGGTGGTAAGTTTACAAATACAATATGCACGATTATTAAATAGTCCGCATATCAATTTTTGGCTTTCTACCTTGAAAATTACGAAATGCTTCATACAAACTCCCCCCCCCCATTTTTCCAAAATGATGGGTTAAAAAAAGATAAAAACTTTTTACGTTATTGTTTCATCCATCCATTTTTTCTACTATCTCCACTTTAAAAGACCACATCAATTCCTTGCATCGTTTGGCCGTAAAAGATGGACAAACAAACATACCCAATATCATGTTTATAATATTAGTATAGATTTATATGTCATCTGAAGTTTTTTGACAAAGGAGTTTACAAAAAAAATATAATATATTTGTTTTTTGTTGACATGATATTTTCATTGAGGTATTCAAAGAGGTTAACAACATTCTTAATAAATCTGTAATAAGAGCGGGAACAAAAATGTTAGGAGGATTTCTTGACAACTAACTGAAATATTTGGAATCTGCGGAGTTCTATCGAAAAATGAATTCCGCAGGGATGAATACTAATATAAGTCCTTGAGAACCCACAGTATTTAATTCGTGTCTGTGAGGGCCAGATTTATTATGAAACTTTGCCGATCTTCTTTGTAATTTATGGCAGCCAACGAAGGCAAGCACGACAAGTGATAGACACACATGACGTCACCGGACGTGTAGGCCCGTTTGAGCGCGAAAATTTAAACGGTTCATTTAAAACCGCATTTTTACGATAAATTTGATTGTTTTTAATGTTTTAATATGCTTATGAGCTATTTTATATGAAATTCTTTAAAATAAAGTCAAAACTAAAAATATTGCATGTTTCCTATTCTGCCAGCGACTTCGCACACATTCTCGGGATTAAAAATTTGTGTTTCCCCAGACTATAATGTATTTCTATGTCCAATATCGGTAAGATCAAGACTCAGTAATTTAACTGTTCAAATAAAGATTATTTTTTACATACTTACTATCTCATCTTATTTCTTACTAATATTATAAATGGGAGTTTGTTTGCATGTTTGTTACTCAATTATGGCAAAATGTCTAAAGAGATCGGGATGGAATTTGGAACAGGGATAGATTATGCAATAATACATAGGCTACTTTTTGTCCTCCGGGACCGCGGGCAATCCTCTTGGCAGAAGAGTAGACTGCCTCGTTGGCCGAGTGGTCGCAAGTGTGACTGCCGGGCAAGGACTCTCGGGTGCGATTCGCAGGCCAGGCAAAGTATTACTGAGTTTTAAAAAAAAATCTCTGTAGTAGCACGTAGTCTGAAATTGTACCCGATTTTATGGCAATTGGCGTGAGCCAGGGGTGACCCTATTACATGGAACTCATAACATAAATACTGAAAAGTGGGTGTTACATTATACTGTGGCATTAAGTGCCGTAATGTGCACCTTTCCTACCCCTTAGAGGATAACATCACGGCTTTATATATAATAATACATTATGTTATTTTCTACCTATCCCTTCGGAACACAACGCGATGATGTTATATACGAAACACATACGTCAGCTTCGAACGAATCAAAGCTCATCCATATAAAAACAAAAATCTAGGTTTATTTTACGAAAAAAAAAAGTAAAAAGCATCCACTATTCCAGTTTATTTTATCTCGAACATTTTTTGGAGCTCAAAACGCTGTAGTGTATGTCTACCTTCATATATATACTCGGTACATAAAGAGATCGCAAAAATCAATACTTTTAAAGCGATTATGTACGAATATAGCTCAGTACAGTTCCAGAATCTTCCATGGAGTACTAGAAGGGAATATTTTACATAGGTACATGTACAAGGTGGTATCATCTATCAATTCCCAGGACTAACGACCAAAGAAGAATAATTTAATAGACTCGACCTGTCAAGATGGACGCGAGACGACACTTTCAGTAAACTTCTTGATACCATTACATAATAGAATATTACGCCTTTTGTACCTCGAAGGGGTAGACAAAGATACAAGTTCCACCTTTCGCCAGTATCTTATGGTTTGGTCTGGTCCTGGTCCCATGAAATAGTCGGCAAACCAACTGCCCTAAATAGAATAAAAATAGAGAAAAAGCATTGGACAACAGTAAAAGTTTATAACAAAAGATTTCAACAATAAAAATGTAGCACAAAGCAAAATTAATCCCGTCAGCAACAGCACCGCGCTCCATCATCGTAGGGGTCGACAGCGACCCTAAAAATAATCCGGTCTACAGCCCCCCAAATTCTCCCTCCCCTCCCGAAATAAATTAGATCTCTAAAACCGTCCATAATCTAGCGTCCCTTGAACCACCCTTGCCGTGCCCCCTCGCATGGCCCATGGGGGATCGCCCCTAAAATAGGGGAGGGTCTAAAAAGGTCGACTGGTCGGTTGCTACGCGTGCATATGTGTTGGGCTGTTGGGCCTACGTAATTGTAAACTGGGCACTCGATATTGATTCGACTCGCTATACGCTTTATGTAGCTCACTTTGTATTTGTATGTAGGTACGTGTGACTATATTAGGACGTTCATACGATAGTTCAATATCTAAGTAATATTTGTTTGCTCTCAAGGATTGACAAACAGATACATTTTCACAGCACACTCGTTGCTTTTGTTAGTTTATGAATCAGAATAAGTTTCCTACGCAAATGTTTTATTGAAAAAAAGTTTACATTGTACGCATATTTTACAGTATTATTACAAAGTTTTGATGTCTGACTCGAATAGATGAATTGTATCCTGTTTAGTAATACTAATACTCACAATAAGACTGGCGAAGTTGGACTTACTTTTAAGTTGTGTATCTGTCCAACTCCTCAAGGATTAAAAGGCGCGAAGATTATTATGTTTAGTTTGTGTTACGCACTCGTAATATCATCGCCTGAGAGACAATACCTGCACGATACGAGGACTACCTATTCACCCCCCTTAAAGATTTACCACCTACTTTTAGTCACCGGCTACTTTTATAAACAAATAGCCCTAATGGCTAGCATAAAGTTTTGTTCCTTTAGTATTTATTCTATGACAGTGCACCCCTCCCGCCTGCCAGGCAGATCTGCGCGCCGCTGCGCTGCGCAGCCTCTCCTATACATACAAGGATATGGGTGTTGATTTATGGATTGCAGTTGCAGTTTGCCGGCGCGTCACTACGCCGCCCGTATTGTCCATAATTGTTATTGTTAATCACTATTAACTGATTAAAGATGTCAGAGAGTGACGCGACTCCCGGCGGAGAAACTCCAGGCGCCATATTTTGTTTATTTTGCGACAAACTCGACAACTTGATCGCAGATCCGGAGCCATTCACCTACCTCGCTGTAAAGCAGGTGGCGCACGAACGACAGGACGCTGTCCGCGACAAGTTCCTCCGTCTGTACCAGGAAGCGCTCACTAAACAACGCTTCTCGTGGCATCACACCTGTGTGATCACTTACATCTGCCACAAATATATCCATGCACAAGCAGCAGCGGCATCGGGTGCACTCCAACAAGAGATGAAAGACATCCAAACTACAAGTGATGATCCTGAGCGACTGAAAGATTGTTTCTTCTGTGAATCAACACTGAGGCCGGATCAACTGAAGGTGCATCCATTTAGGCAAGGCTGTCGGCTGCCAGGCTCCTCAGCGACGTGGCGTTTAAGAAGCAGGACAGAATATTTGCAAAGATTGAGCAGTTTGACTCGCCGCAAGATTTCCTGGACAAAGGTATACGCTACCACAAAGGTTGCTACTTGGACTATGTGAGACTGCCGAAATGCTGCGTGACTAAGCCACCAGAAGTACCAGATTCTATTATGTTCAAGGCTTTGGCGCAGCTGCTTGAAGAGATAGACAGCAAGCTGCCGAAGTGTTGCATGGCGCTGTCGTACTTGGCGAGGCGTCTGCAGGCTCTGACGGGGATGAGGACTGCGGACGTGGACACGGAATGTGTGACGGGGCTGCTGACCGCTCGGTACGGAGAGAGGATCATGTTCTCCTACCCGGCAGGACTGAACTCATGCGTGGTGTTCCTGAGCAGGGTGCCGCTCAGCCAGGCCATGCGACGTCTGCGTTAATTTCATCGAAGAATGTGTAGTAGGGATTTTATAATCATATTTCATGTCACAAATATATCAAAATGTAGTGTTGCTCTCACAACGTAGTGTGTATTGGTGTCAAACGAAGTATCCTCAGTGCGTATGTATGTATGTATGTAGTGTGTACGTAGGTATGTCGTATCGCCTATGATTCGTATCACAGGTGTGCGTTTGTAAACGTATTATCCCATGTAATATGTAATCGTTCAATAGTTATTAGCCAAGCATCATAATTGTAGTATCAACTGTAATAACGTAGATTTAAAGAGTAAATTTCTGATTTCAATTTTAAAAACGAAGTAGATTGTAAACAACTTTTTGAAATTTTAAACCTAAGTTTAAGAATTCCATGTAATTTTCTGAAATAAATATTATCATATCATTCAACTGTTTCAATTTGCCAGAACCCAAGACCATGTCTTTAGTAGTTGCATTTACTACTGACAACACCTTAGATAGATAATTTACTTAACAATGTTCAGCTTGTACAGCTGTTAGTTTTTGCGTAATAGCCTGATAGTGCAACAACTAGGACACCCTTTAACATTTGCATATACATGAACCTACACACATACATACACTCGATGCAAACATGCACGACGTACCTGTACCTAGTAGGGGAGGGGGGGACGTCATGATAGGTGTGCCACACTATTAACGTAACAAGAACAAATTAAATCAAAGTGTACCTATTAAAGTTGTATTACTTAGTCTAAAAAGAGACGAATTTTAGTAAATTTATGCAATATGGCCTACATCAAATAAAGTATATGGGATTCAGAACATAACACATCACAAAGCAGGTTATAATGTATCATGTGCTACCTACTTTGGGGGAAAATGGCGTGAAGGTGATGAGTTTGTTATGACCTCTGAGTGTGTTTCAGCGTTTCTTCTCAGAGTAGAAGGTAGAAAGGTAGGAAAAGGTAGGCACTCATCTAGTAATTTAAAGATTGACGTGTAAAAGTGGTATTTGCAGAAACAAATATCATTTCAACTTATTTAATCATCTATACTAATATTATAAAGCTATTAAATATTATAGTTTGTTTTTTGTTTGTTTGTTTGAACGCGCTAATCTTCGGAACTACAAGTCTGATTTGAATAATTATTTTTGTGTTAAATAGTGCATCTATTGAGGAAGGCTATAGGCTATAAAACGTCACGGTACGACCAATAGGAGCTGAGCAGAGCGTGTAAAACCGCGCGGAAGTAGCTAGTTTATTTCATATAAGATTTAGTACACAAACGATTAAGTACCTACTCAGGAATCTCACTAGCTTTATAAGACAATATTAAATACATTTTTCCAATTATGAAGTTACGAACATAATACCACGTTATAAATTCCATTTTAGGTGGGGCTTGGGAGGAGGGCTTCAAGGTCATGATAAGCTCACTCCTCCCTGACACCCACCGTTACGCCTATAATTAGCAATTTCGTAATTTCAGGTATAATTTACTTAATACACGCTTCATAACGACTACTTACAATTTCAATAGAACCATTCTTTAGGGGTTCAACATTATAAGAGACTGATTTCGTTGCTTCACTTTTTAAGTACTCTTGAAACTGTCATGTAGGAACAAAATAAGAAAGGAAAATAAAGTCAATGTTTGTTCATACTTCATATTATTAATATAGCAACAAACTCTAAATCCTATCTGATGTAAGCGGTCTCTGTAACCTAAAGAACATCTGCAACACCAGATACATCACGACATCGACATCAGATGTAGTACTGTGACAGGAGAAATTGAACGAAAGAAGAGTGATTTTAACACAAATAAAATACTATAAAAACTAGATGACCTTTGACCATGTCAAAATAAACGGTGAAATCATAAAGAATGTTTCGTCCCAAATTACTTTTGTCAAGCTTATGCTCCCTCCCCCTTATTTATATATCACAACGTCCCACCTATTCTCCCCGAAGAGGTAGGCAGAGGTGCACATTACGGCACTTAATGCCACTGTGAGTACAATGTAACACCCACTTTTCACTATTTATGTTATGAGTCCCATGTAATAGGGGGTGAGCTTATTGCCATATACCGGGCACAATTTCAGACTCCGTGCTACTGAGTAATTTTGAGAAACTTTAGTAATATATAAAACCCGAGACCGTCTTTATTTATATCTAATCAATAAATCAACGTTCATTATTTAATAAGCGGAAGAAAACGACATCCTGTCCAATTTTCATACTCGACCGGACAGTTGACACTCATTGGGAATTTACTCGACCAGAAGTTACAAAATTACGCATGTTATCTGCGCAGGACAAATGCGGATAGAATGGGTCATCGACAGCAAACATGTTGATATCACTATCGCGTACGTACTTGCACGTTTGAACGAGGCACAATGAGATCCGATATCTTGGTCAGCGAATTGAGGGCGGCTTTAGTCCCCATACAATTTTGGGAGTATAGCTTCAGAATACAGAATTTCCTATATTTGTTGACATGTATATCCTTCTTAGCAGGATTTCTGATACAAAATTCTTAGCGAGGAGTCTGAATCTGCACCCAATGTTGTAATACGCCCCTGTAACATGGGACTAATAACATGACTGGCATAAAGTGGGTGTACTTTCTCATACCTTCGCCTAACCCTTCGAGGAAAAACCGGTTATATTTATGTTGTCGATGTTTTTCCTTCTCTTCTCCCCAACACTAAATGTGTATAGGTAAACAACATCCTGTCAACAGGTACATAGAAGATTGGCGGAATTTTTTCTCTATCTAAAACCCGAACACTGAAAAGCTACTCATTTTAAGCTCTACTTAAATATAGTGCAATTTTACAAAGAATTTTTAGTGCCAGTACTATACTAAAGCGCGTCTTAAAATTGGGTGGCGTTTAAGTATTTGGATATTACGTAATCAATTTAACAAGTCTCTGCAACAGAACAGACACAAAGAAAATATGTTGCTCACACAGTGAAGTGCCCTTTCTTTGCTACTTTATTTTAGCTTAGGTTAGCCTTACATTCTGGTAATAGATAATAATCTTCCTAAACCTTTTTTTTTAAGGGGGAAAATCATCCAATGACTTCTCCCGCCTTAGGTTAGGCGAGAGGGAGTGCCATACTCTTACTGACTAAAAACCACCCCGTTCCTACTCTTGCTCTTCGAGCCGGAGCGCCGGCAATCCGTTAGGCCATCCGCGGCTCCGTATCGGGCATCAGCCCTATTGTTCCTTAACAACCTAACTTAGCATTTTGGTATATAAAACAGCAAATACCTTCTCTCACCAAAATTAATTTTTTTTTACAGGTTCATGTACATTCATGCTTTGATCTTCAACAATTACAACTAGCGAATACATTTAAAATAGTTAACAGGTTAACTCTTCGTATCATTATCACTATAAGGCACTAATGACACAACACAATAAGTAAGACGTCAGTCAACTGTCCACACTCCAGCGAATGGCATCCACCCCAGGTTTGACGCAATAATAGAGGGGATCCAAACCCTGAGTGACGTCACTGCCCATCACATCACAAGTAACGGGTATGACCGGTTCTGACCGACCCCATGGACTTGAGGGCAAGGCCGGCCCGCTCACCGCGCAAGGATAGAAAGCAAGCCTACTTTGCAACGTTGCATAAGTTAGCTTTCAAGAAAACATCTTTATGATGACGCATCTCGTTAATTCTGATTCTAAAACAGTCTTGATTAGTAATCAATAAAGGCTAATTTTGCTTAGCGAGTGGGAGAGCTTCAAGACAATTTCTTTAAGTAATGTTTTATGGAAACTGTTTAACAGAGACTACCGCCACTTGTTGACTTGACTACACAACGTGGGTTGAATAAACAACTGAATTAGGATAACATCTACACAATATAACAATGATAGAATACCTAAGGATAGTTTTAATATAAGATATCAGTGTATTTATTCCTTATCCTTAAAAAAAAATAGAAAAACTTCATTACAAAGGTACCTTAATTCTTTTAGTGGGATGAAATGACAGTCATACAATATACACATACCTAACCAATTAATCCTTATAGTTGAGATAATTACATAAAAATAATTACAAAAGCAGACGCAATACTGACGTCACCGTCAACATCCCGTTCCCTCATTAAATGAACTTTAAAATATTGATTTATAGTACATGCATTATACAAAAACCGTGAGAAGGGATGAATTTATATTACTGTTATGTTTAACAATAGGTTCGTCCTATAGTAATGTAAATAAATAACGTAACCCATAATTGAAATACGTAACCAAGGAGTTTTTTGGAATTCTCCTCCATGAATGTAGGTACTACTTTGGAACGAGCAAAACGCTTTCACTAAGGGACTGACAAACCGATTTTTTTTATTGGTTAACTTTGAAAAGTGTCCTTTGGTCTTAATGAAATAAATAAACTTTCAAAAATGATTTTTGGCAACATTTAAATATTGTGTCTTAAGACTTTATAACTTTAACCGCGTCTACGACCAACGTCCTCGGTGTAACAGCTAGCAGGGTGGTTCTACTATTTGACTAGTCCGGAGGGCTATTAATAAAATTGAGGAGTAAACCTCGGAGACGAGGGTAGACTGGGGAATAGAGGTCACGAGGCGACCTTTGCCGACAATCCCACGCCGTAATACTAAGTATATTGTATCGACTTTTACAAACGAATTTGGGGCAGCATCTCGCGAAACACGTGTCTTTTGGTTTCATCTATACTTATAATAAATCTGTAGAGAGGTCAATTCTGTACATAAAATATATTTAAAAAATAACTATCAAGGGCTGGTTAGGGATCGCTACTGATGCCAAAAATGCAATCAGTAAAATTTTTGTCTGTCTGTCTGTCTGTATGTTCGTTATGGAAACAAAAACTACTCGATGGATTTTAACGAAATTTGGCACAATTTTTCTTCATACTCTTGGGCAGGTTATAGTATACTTTTCATTACGCTACGATCAATAGGAGCTGAGCAGTGAAGGGAAATATTGGGAAAAC